AACGATTTATTGGTTTAGGAGGAAATTTTAAATTATCCTATTTTCACAGTTTCAGTCTCGTAAAAGACTAAAATATTGTATTCTTATAAATGGTCTAATAACGATTCTGAGCGTATACACTAAACATAGGGTTCGAGCAATGGTCAAGCCATCGATAATGATACTTTCAAACTAAAGTCAGCCGTGCAATTATAAACGACCCTAAAACCGTCTTATTACCTCATTATTTATTTGTTTCCCTCGTCCGTGATTCATCGGCGGTGTGTCTGAATGTCGTAAATCACCGCGCAAACATTGGTAAGTAACTCATAAACCTGGGTACCAAAAATTATCGAAGCCTTCACAGAAGTTATAACCGGTGATATCACCATGAAGAGGTTTACAGACTACAAAACAAAGAACGGTCGACATCCGACCTGGACATTTCCAAAATAAGCTTTCGTCCAAATAAATTCAACTGTTTTGTTAATATAATAATAGTACAATTTATATTGTATTCAGATGTTTTCCTGATATGAATGGGTGTCTAGAAGAAGGGCGTATGTTACATTTCATAAAATTTACAGGAAAACGTGAAAACAATTCATTGCTCACTGTAGCAACGAAAGAAACAGCTGGTGTAACATATGTCCTTCTTCCACTTTGAAAAATAAATAATATGTAATCCGATTATGAGAAAGTAATACACCATTCTTTTAGGCACCCATGTGTCTGTTTCTTAGTAAAAATGGCATAGATTATACAAAATTAAGGACAGATATTGTCAAAATAGCATAGTTTCTGATATTTAAAATAACCACTGAATTTGAAAACAAACACGATAAATTACTCTACTGGTATACTACTTTTGTACACAATTCTTTATACGTAACTTTTTCCATTAACTAAAATAAATGAAATGTCAATATTGGGGACACTGGCAGTAATTGGAACATTTACCCTAGCTATAACTTTTGTTCTCAGCGTGATGCTCCACGAATTTTGTTCAGCTAGGTTTATAAAATACCACACCGTGTGTTGTGAAAACGGAGCACTGTACTGGTCGCGAAATTTTCAATAAAAACTGTAAAAGAACGACAAAATAAGAATATGTCACGTGTTATATTTACACGCAACCGGCCATAAAAGTAGAAGAAGGGGGCGGACGACGACGGTGAAAGCGAATCTGAGTCGGTAGTATCATTAATCTGCCAATAAAGCCAGCGCGAGCCTCGTAATATGTATCCAGTTTATTGTCAGAAATATTTGTTTACCCAACATACAATTTCCCTCGCACGTGATCCGAACGAAGGAACGATCTCATCGACAAAACCATCCAGAAAATGTGCAACCCTGACGTCGGCGACATTTTCGAGTTCGGCCAGCTTTTTTTTTCAAATAGATTTTCGCGTTCATGAATAATGCACGAACGGATAGAAATTGAGGAAGGTATTTTTAAACGTGATATCAAGATATTACACTTGTTTACCACGAAGCCACGCGTCTCTTCTTGGTCCCGATGGTGTTTTTTGCTGCGTCTCGATGGTATCGGATACCTTTTACCGTAAAGTGCAGGACGATTTAAGAAAATGATCGAGATTTTCAGTATTAATTAAGATTTGGTAATTATAACAATGCTTATCCAAGCCCGTTGTGGAAACTATAAATGTTATCTTGTTTTTTTATTATACTTTTTTTTCGCGGCATGCCTGTGACCGCTTGTATGTACATTATGACAAAATATGTAATTTTCTTCCGGAAATGTAGTCTTGTGTGAATACCATGTGCTATTTTTGTTTTTCTTTTGAATAATAAATCCGTTTTTTATCACATACGAAGTTTAGATGACAACATCCTTTGGTGTTTCGATGCTAGTATTACTTTTATATCAGATGTACCAAGAATAGTAATCCATTATTTTGTTTAATATGATAAGAGTACAGTTTAAACTTTAGATATTTTCTATATTTTTTGAAATAAGATTAAATTTTTTTCAGAATAAGATTTAAAAAGTGACAAAAAGCCAAACGCAATTAACTAAGTTGTTTATATCTAATGACGATTTTTAAACATTTTAAAAATAATTTTAATTTATAATCTGTTTATCCTACAAGACAGAAATAAAAGATTACGCTTAGTCACTAATTCACACATTTTAGTAACATTTATAGACTGTTCTTACAAATCTATCAAGTATCTGAATATTTATGAGCAGAGACGGGCTTGTATGAATGATTTTGTGATTGAAATACGTTTAAAATTAGTATACACTTAACCTACTAAATACTTGTATTAAACGTGGAGATAAATTGACGAATAACTTGGTAATTTACATTCAATGATGACTAAATACTGGTGGAATTCCAAACGTAGTAATTTCGTCTGTTCAGGTAATAAAATACTCATAAAATAAAAAAACACATAATTTTCAGAATTCATTCGAATTCTCCGCTTCAGTCAAACACATACTGTACCCAATGTGTTTATTGAACAAGCAAACAATAAAGTCTTACTTGCAGTGCAGTTCTCACTTTTAGTTCTTGCATTTGCATTTCAGTAAAACATAATTCATGAAAAGTAACATCTGTCAACAGATAGAAAAAAATTGAAGGACACGCTCGAATCTCATTTTCAAATGAGATATTAACAATATACTAGATACCTATTGTTAAGACGAGCGCAAAATACGTTTATTCTTGAATAAAAATATCCGACAGCTACGTAACTAACAAATGCAATACGTTAGAATTTCGATTACAATTGCATTAACCGTTAATGTTTCAATATTAGTTATGTTTTCAAATATTTGTTTTTAGTATCTAACGTATTTAAATTTTACGTCTACTTTATATGTATTTCTCATTTCTTCAGAAGAAATCATTTCAAAGTTTGAAATAATTTTATTCGAAATGATGCAAACGCGAAGAATAAGCAAGGAGAACAGCAGGTTTAATAGAAACACCCGGCGCCAATAAAGTCCCTTGGCGCTAAAATTTGAAGGAATTCAAAAAGTGGCGTTAGTCACTTCGGCCTCGTGAATGGCTTATTTGACATCCGAAAATGCCTTTCGGAGATCCACTTTACCCGTCTCCGCTAAAGGTACGTTTTCACGTGACAGTAAATCGTGACTCTTACGGTTCTACCACTAAATGTTATGACTTTAGTCGTCATGAAAAGTACATATCACGTTGTCGTGACATTGCTTTCCATTGTCATACAATGTCACAACAAAAATCATGACACTTTTACTGTCACGTGAAAACGTACCTTAACAAGCGGTAGCGCACGTTCAGCGACCATCGCGAGAGAGCCTAGCAGCCAGCATTCTTCCCGCGTACGACAGACCGTTTCTTCTTGCAAGAAGTCGGTGCACCTGAACGGCGGAGAACTCACAGCGGTGCTCGCTCTTAATTCCAGCCGATAATCCTGAAAGCATCTCTGGCGATTCCATTATCGATGCATACCAGCTCAACCCAATAAAACGTTGTTATCTATACAGCCCTGGCTCGTCATTCTGCGTGTCCGTGGATGAAACACCTGAAGAAAAGCACGAGATGGCTCTGCAGCTCCTTCTCTCTCTGTCTTTCTTGTTATCTGCCCCGTGCACGTGTCCCTTTCTCGACCGAGAAGAAACAGCAACGGGAATAAATAAAGTAAATAGAGGGATATAGGAGGTAAATAAAAAATGTGGCAGCAGAAGAGAGAGGAGTGTGCGAGAGTGGAATGGACGGGGCGGGTGGGAGGCAGGGAGGGTGGTAGAGAGGGGCAAGAAAGCTGCAGAATCCAGAGGTGCGTTCACCGGGAAAATCCCTCCCCCGGAGATTATCTCCTCAAAGAAAACTCGACGACTTCGCGCTTTAGTTTACCCGTCCAATCGAGCGTGTGTCCGCTGATTCCGATAGATTCTACGCCATATAGAACTCGCCAGATACAGAGAATATTCGTATGATTTCGGTATCGGCGAGCATATTGCGTGCATTTATCGATATTTTCCAGGTGGACACGAGTTAAGGCGCGTTTTCACGTGACACTGAAAGTGTCATGGCTTTTGTTCTGTACCTGCATAATAGGAAACAAGGACTAGATAAACATTAATTCATTCTTACTGAATGTTTAATAAAACATTCTGAGAATGTTTGTTTAACATTTTTTTAACAGTTCTGTAACTACGGAATACTCTGCATTCTACTTATATGCATTCAAATATATGTGAAAAAATCGAATAAATGTCAATTTTCAATTCATTAAACTCGTAGGACTCATTTTTCAAACGAGGTTTATAAGCTGCTTGAAAGAGTACTAAATCCTTTAGAAACTGTAATTCTTGTGGAGTTGTGCGATGCTTTAAATTTCCTCTTACACGTTTCTCCCATTTTATATTTATGAAGACATTCTAGTATTTGGCATACTCGAAGATGATAAGTTTGACTGTTATCAAGTATCTATGAAATCAAATTCAACGTAAAACTGGAGGAATCAATGATCACGGATAAAGTCCGAAACCACCTAGTTTTCACCTCGTTGCTGACTGAACTCGGGAGTTCTCGCGAGTCTCGCATGTCATTATGTAACTCGGTAACTTTAACAGACAGGGTAGACGACCTTATTAACTTCTTCCTCTCACCTCTTTTTAAATAATACATTTACAAACATTCATCGTACAATAACGAATCTATACTTCACCTCGTAGAGAAATTTCCAAAACAAAGTATCAACAGTCCAATTCAACGAACATTTCAATCTAAACATATTCGCTACCGAGTCACTTTATAGTTTTCCAAGTTTCTACTTCCTGCTATAGAACAAACAAGAGATTGCCAATACTCTGACACTAGCTGTATAGGTGCTAAACTCTAACTCATTACTTTCAAATTAGATTAGGGTAAGAGGTTCAAACAGTATCTATTACTTGGGGATGTAAAAGGTAGGATCCACAAGAAACGTTCGGAAGTATCAAAACTATCCCTCCGGATGTCGTTTAATAACAGTATGTATACATGTCGAATGATTTTGGTGTCGGATGAATTGGTGTGGATCGCGGCCCGTAACTAATTTGAACGTTCGAAAAGAAGCGGATGACGAATTCAGACGCGCAAAGTACCGATCGGCCGTACCGTAACATAGGACATATCTCTTCCCAGAAATCATCTCGAGGCGATCTACCGGTGAACGGTCGTCTCTCTCTCTTTCTCTCCTCGTCGAGCCGGACCGGCCCCTTGTGTGTCCCTGTTGCGTTAGTTGGCCAGGTCGGTGCCAGGGAGTCTACCAGCGATAACCAGCTGCGCGTCGCACCGGTAGACTGCTTGCTGCCTCCGGCTGCTCCGGGGACCCTGGGACCGGTTATACTTGACCCAGCGGTTTACACGCGCTTGCCGCCGCCAGCTCCACCACCGCCGAGGCCGGTCGCTACCGAAACACGTACCTACATTGCCTGGACAAACTCCAGCACGCTCTCCTCCTTCTTTATCCTTTTTTCCCTTTCTCTCTTGCTCACGTTCTTTAACTGTCTTTCTTATTCATTCCCCTGTCACACATATACACACCAACCGGACCGATACACGTTACCTCAATCCATCTCACCCCACTTCTACTCATCCCGCTCTTTCCTCCTTTCATTCGAGTATTTGTACGCTTATTTTTACATACCGGGGAACTTAACGACTTCTTTGTATAGTTATTAGAACGGCTCTGCTCGCCGCGTGCCGAGAAAACACCCGTGTAAAGGAGATCACGCGAGTAATTAAACATTCGCCGCGAGAGGAAACCGTGGATCAGAGAATTCATACTATTTCGAATACTTAGATGGTACATAGTTTGGAGTATTTCTGTTTAATTAAACGAATTTTGTGGTCACTACAATATGGTAATCGAACGACGCGCTTCGTTAGCGTGAACATACGCGTGTATAGAGGATGATTTAAGAGAATAATGTTGCAGAGAGATTGTCTATAACATACTTAGTTTTTGTAAGAACACTTTGTTACGCCTCTTCTGATGCAGAACTTTTATAATTATGGACTAACTTAAAACTATGTACAAACGCAATATATTTCTTAGAGTAGTTCTTCACTTAACATATTTTTCCATAAATTTACGGTGAAATTCACTTCTTAAGGAATCATTTATGAACACATCATGCTTCTTTTTTGGTTCAGAACGAGCACAGTTCTTGAACACAACATCGTCATCCCATCTTCTTTTAACTTTCATGTCTGTCCGACCACTCTGGGATGAATAATTTAGTAAAGGATTGCCAGAAAGAATATTTTCCATTCTTATTCTTTCCTCCTCTTGTCTTTTCTCTATTTCCTGCAAAATAAAAACAATGTAATATTACATTGTGCAAATAAGATAAACATAATTTTAATTTTATTAATTTATCAAGTTAAACATTTCTGGCATCAACAGTTTAATATCTCAATGCATCACAAAAATTAATCTTTTCTTGTATATTTTTTTTTCCTGTAATCATAGAGAAGAATTTAACAATTAATTTAATAAATTCGAACCTTCTTAGCTTGTTCAGCTGCTCTTTCTTTCTTAATGCGTTGCAATTCAGCCAAAAGGGCAGCAGTATCGTCCTCATCACTGTCAGAGTCTGAATCCTCATCATCTAAAGGATCATCAGCATCTAAACTAGCTGTTGGGACCTGATCTATTTTTTGCCTTTTAGCACTTGTTGCAGAAGTTTCTCGAGCTGGCTCTATCATGCGCCGATTAGAACTTTTATCTTTGTCCCTTTCACGTTCACGTTCTTCTAATTCCTTGCGGAAATCACGGTTTCGCAATTCATCAACTGTTCCTTGCCCATGTTCTCTAAACACGAAATTTATCAAAATAAATAGAAATATATAAATTGTATTTAATTACATACTAAGAAAGTCTTGCAACTATGTGGATAAGTAAGGTTATATTCAATGACGTACTAATCAGAAACTAACATTACGTTCGGAAAAATGTAGTAGATGAATGTTATACTTTCAGAATAGAGTAATATAAAATGTAATAAAATACCTGTATTTTAATTTCGTATGAGACGGTAAGTCTCTACTACTGTATTGTTTTGATATTGCACTTAAATCCTTTTCACCACGACCTTGTCCTCCTCTAGCAGGTTCGAAGGTGGGTCTTGCAGCTGTTGTCATTTTTTATAGAATCTATAAAATACTCTACCGAATCAACAATCTGTTTCCTTTTTTTTCTCAATGCGAATTACAAAAATGTTCCAAAACACAGCTGATCGTTCAACAAATTCATAAACTTCCGTAGCGTCATATACCATACTCCAATACTCTCCACCAGAGGTCTTCCCGGTCTTCTGCGTGAAGCATCAATCGATACAATATTCGATCGTAGTATCGAAATATTTCAAATATAGAAAATTCGAAATAAAAATACGTTACTCGATACAATTAGAAAATAACATATTGTAGCCGCCGTGCCCTTCAATACGACGTATAATTCCTGGAAAGTTTATTATAAAAACAAAGCTACGTGTTAGTATCGTATAGAGAAGATGTAAGATTATAAAGTCTATAGTAATTTATTTCTTTTCTTTCGCTTCGTGGATGCAACAGTGACTGACCGTAGTAACGATCCTCTAACTGTTTCAAGGAGTATACATTTTAATTAGTGAACATTGAGTTGAATATAAAAGATAGTGTTTCAGGTGTATATTTTAAATAAAGTATGTCGGTGATTAAGAAATTATTTGAAATCGCGAGTGAGTTTCATAAGTTAATTATTGAAACAATAATAAGTGTTTTTTAAAATAAAATAGAGTAATATGTGGTAGTACAATGGCATATTTATATAATAGCCATACATTAGTAATTGCAACATCAGTGTACTTTAAGCTGTATGTAATCTATGTGACTACATCTGTATAATTCTTTGTGACGTAATTCTGTGAGTATGTTTCCAACTTATTATTGCATGACAATTGAATTTATTACCATTATTTATAATACAATTTGTATTTAAAAAATTGTGACTTTATAAATTCGTACATACTTAATGAACATGAGCCAACTTTAGAAATTAGGTTTAATGTTTTAAATACTGCATTTTAGATTAATTTGATATTTATTAAAATGAAGACTACATTTGTCTTACATAATAGCAACATTTATTTTCACGCACTATTCATTTCTATTAATGAATTTTAACACATTGCGCTTTTTCTCTTTCGCATACATACATTGTTAGTTTTCCATTCTGTTATAAATGTTTATGTCGAATGTAAACTATTGACGTGTCATTTATTTTGTGCGTTATAATATTTATCATAGTTAAACTTCTTATCAGTATAAAACCTAATACCTTTTAAATACAGTGTTGGACAGCATTCCGACTTTCATTTATTATATTTGCAACCAAAGAGGCACTGTACTAGAAAACAGTCTTTAAATTTCACAGATAAAAGCACAGCTCTGTAGAAATTTTCCTTTGACTATTTTCTTAAATGATAATTGAAAAATACATAAATGTAAGTGCATATACAATATTCAGCATGAGACAATAATGTTTACTACATGTGTTTCATGTTGAAATAAGTTCCATGATTAAATGATTTTATAAAAATATATGTAATATAATGTATGAGAAATCGTAGATAAATTTCAGAAGAATTTTCTTCTTCTAACACGTTGAAAATACAATTATTGCCTCATTCATTTCTAGAGAGCTTTGTCAAAACGCACTTGTAATTACATTCGCAAACAACGATTAAAATTTATTTTCCAATTGTAATATAATATGAATTCGACATTGATTTCATCTACCTAGCTTATATTGCAGTAGCGATGCGACAAACGTGTTGCTACATTCGTGACATACTATTATCCCCTACAATTAACTTTTCCTATAAACAATTCATAACTTTATAAGCAGAGCTTTTTCTACTTTTAATGGTATCATTCGTTAATTGCATTAGGCGAACGAAATAATAACATATATTTCGAAATATTCAGACATAGTTTCTATGCAACGTTCATTTGCACTTACAAAGAGCAGTCTGAATAAAAGAAAGATTGTACCATGGCACACAAGTTTTACCACTGTTCTTAGTCAAATATTATGTTTTATTATTTCAAAGTTTATCAGTTTTGTAAATAAATGCTACTAGTGTACAAGTCTAATATATATGTAATGTACATACTGTAATACATCATTCTTACTCAGCCTTTTTCTTATAGCATTATGACAGTAAGTTGCTGTACAATTTGCAGATTACAAATTTGTCAATTTCAACTTAAATAAAGACAACAAAAATAATGTACAATTAAGTTTTACCTAATTAAATGTAATAAAATTAGTTTGTCATAATGCAATAACAAAATCATTTATAAATCCACTGAAATTTCTAAGGAATTTTGTCATTTGTATATGCATTTATTATAAATTATACCCTTTACTTGGATAAATATTATATGAGCAGCTTTGTACTACTAAAATTGCATGTGTATAAAGTATTTGATATCATTTCAAAATATATCTATTCAATAAAACATTATTCAGGACAGATTCTAATATAAAGTGATACATATTCCTAAAAATGAATAACAATATTCTGTTATTCAAACACAATATTCTATGTATAATAATTACAATTATACATTTCATTACATACAAAAACACATAAAATTTGCACAAAACACTTTGCATAAAAACCGATAACATTGATAAGATTTATATAAGTATTAATTTCACAATTTTTCGGTAAATAAAAAAGAAAATAAAAATTCTGTGATACTTAAAATTTGTAGCGTTTTATTTAATTTGATACTATTCTGTGTGCAATAAATGTAATGAAATTAAAAATTCTGAAATATTCAACATTTGTAATTCTACATTTTACGTACTCCATACGTTTCAATATTTTTGTTTTATGTACACGAATTTACGAAACAAAATTGTACAGAATGCAAATACATACAATAAAGTACTGCATCTTATTTAAAAAATGTATCACAATATAGTTATATAAAGAAGATAAGCATACATCATAAAATAGAAATAACTTTTGGAAAAATTGATTGGAAGGAATAATTTTAAGGTAAGTACATCGTCCGTAAAATTTGGTTACTTCATTAACGAGAATGCGGAGATTTGACAAGTATCACAATTTCTAACAAGCAGACATTCTATAATGTATAAGTGCTGCATAATATATAAATTTGTATTTTCATGTTAACTAAAGCTTTAATATGTATTACCATGTATAAATGTACAAAAAATTTGTTTATTAATTGAAATATTTTCCTTCTCAAAATATTCTCCACTTCTCAGCCAATAATAATACTTGCATAAATATAGACTGCCAGCTACATCTTCTTTACATAATGCATATACATAAGATAAATTATACAAATATATACAAATTAACTTCTACATGTTTAACATATTGTAATGTACAAATCATTAAATTCTTGAGTCAATACGCACGCATATATAAATGCCCCTTTAGGTGCTGGACACCAAAATATACTACATTCAACTAGATTTCATATGTATACTTTTCTCAATACATGGAAATTGTATGTAAGACAATTATAAATTTTGTAGTTAAGAGTAATTTTAATATTTCACAGAAGTAAAATATCTAAATATTATTTTTGTCATTTACTTTTTTTATCTATATAAATTTTCACTAAAAAGAGAGTATATAAACATGATAATTATATCAAAATATGGCAGTGATTAGAATATTAGAAACCTTTGTAATTAGGCCACCTGATAATACTTTTATACTGTTTGTAGAAAAAGTGTATATTCATTATTTATGAAGTAATGATATGAAACCAAATAATTCCGATTATTCTTCTTTCTATTCTATGAAGAATTATTTGAAATATGTTTAATACGCATGTATTGTTAATTAACGAATAGGAAAAAACAGTTTGAATTTAATAGAAATCTGTAATTGTAGCGGTTTACTAAAATAGTAGCATTATTCTCTAATTCATAATTAATAATGCAGTTCTCTTTGTGCTTAAGAAAATTAATAATGAGTTAACGCATAACCCAATTTGTACCATTCGTTTCGATAAGAAATTGCCTTAAAAACAAAGCTAATTGAATTATGCAAACGACTTCTTTTCAAACGTTCATTCTTTTAGGCTGTACTTGTATGATTATTAGCACCACTGATAGCACTAAACAAAGCAGCACTATTACGTTTAAAGTTACCAACTTGCTCATCTGGCCAAATAGGTTCTCCCAGCAACGATGATAAACTTTGACAAAGTTTCTGATAATTCTCGCGTAAAACTTCCTGATACTCGTGTTGGTCAGATGTGATTAATTTACTGTTTATTTGCAGAGCTGTGTAACATATCTTAACAAATTCCCTGAAATTGAGTTATACATTAAACACAAAAAATAGTAACTAAAAATAGTCAATTGTTAAAGATGAATGCTTACCTAAAAACATCTTTTAATTCTTCAACTTTATCATCCGGGTAATGTGGGGATAATGCAGGATCTAAAAATGCAGAAGCGTACGCGAGTGGTCCAGCATTTACTGTGACACATATGCTCCCTTGTAGTCTTAACTGTAATTTTTTCACATCCGTTGGACCTACAAGAGCCACGTCTTCCAATTCTTGAACGCGTTGTCGCATTTCATCCAAAGCGACTTCAATCGGGCTAAGTTCCATTACTCGTTTTTCAGTAACCAGGATCCGTTTTTTAATATACGGAAAAGAATATTGCGCTAAAATATTACAAATGATAACATTGAACTAAACCTGCGAATTTCTTCAATGCGAAGTATATAATAAAATCTTTTTTTTTCGATATAATTATTCAGCCATGAAAACATTTTGAGATGTATAAGTCATGAATACTTTAAAATGTTAACCTTAAAATTAACGTACTTGTCAAAATTGTTCTCCGCTTCCACTGATCTTCTGGATTACCCCTTGCTTTCCCCTCTTTAGTAAACGGAGTTTCAAACATGAAACACGACACATTGTGATTCTGTTCAAATTCTGTTTGCCGAGCATCCAATTCGTATTTTTCAAAATAAGGTGTAACGTGCGTTACTTGAATGTATGCAATTTTCGGATCCAATTCAGTTATATCAATGGGTACAGAGTCCATAATCATTTTAACATTTTCTGCTCCAAATTTATCAGAATACAAATGATGTAGTCGTTCCGAAATCTCTGATAAAGACGTAACTTTTGGTTCTTTATAAATGTATTCTTGTCCGTTTTCATCCTCAAAGTATGCCTGTAGAGCACATATTCACAAAAATTAAATTTTGAAGATAATTAATAAGCATATATTGTGTACAATAATATTATTCTGTAACTCTTCTTACCGAACCAAAAAATGCAACTCTATAAAACCTTCCAAGGAGCCTCTTTCCAGATTTAGTGACTTCAACAATTTTATTACAAGCTTGCGCTAAATGTGAATAACAATTTGCTAATGCTTCGTAATTCCGTTTTTCTTCGTAGATAGGAACTATTAAACGATACAGATGTCCAAGAACTTCAAATCGTTCTGCTTTCTCCAGCATCTCAGCACAAGCTTCCAATTGTTCAAGAAGTAGATACTCGTTATAATGAATATCTTGCACACCTAAAATAATACCATCAATAATGAAGTATTATCTTGGCATGAAAAGAAAGAGAAAGAAACTTTTCATTCCAATTAATCTACAAAAAACGTCTACAAAAAGTGTTCCAGTAAATCTAAAATAACAACACGCTTACTAGATTACAAATACAAATGAACCAAAATAAATATGAACAATTGCAATTCAATACCATGCACCATATTCCAAGCGAAATAAAACAGTGATTAACAAAATCGAATGGATTGAAAATAATCAGAACTTAAATCATAATACAAACGTGTGCACAACATACAAATCTCACCAGCATCGAGTTTAAGACTGCATTCGTCTCTAAAAATGTTCTCAGAGATTTTATCAAAGGCTTCCGCTCCCCATGTGTGAACTTTTTTCAATTTTAAATATTCAGCCATTAATGCAGCGATATGTAATTGACAGCAAGCAGCCTAAAAAGTAATAATAATGTAAACATTATGGAATATCAACATTTACATGAAATCCATATTGTAGAATCTATGAAAGTACATACTTCCGAAAAATTTCCATCTCTTGCATGATTTCTAGCCATAGTTTCTAACCATGTGTGCCTTAATTCGGGTGTACTAGCATAAGAGTTGGCTAAACTGTGTTGTAAATCGACCAACATTTCAGGATCATTATTATGTTCTCTCATTTGTGCTGTTGCCATTAAAACAGTTCTAATCCTTTTATTGAGATCTTTCACTTCCACTGGAAAACCTGTACCTTTCATTACTTTGTCAGATGAAGCATAACTATTTATCAATGACAGCGATTCTTGAAACCTTGAATTATTCAATCCAATAACGTTTCCAAGCATTTGTGAAACAGAAATGATCACCTGTATATAAATAAACACATAAAATATTTAAAATATTGTTAGGCATAATTTGACGTAAAAATAAAATTTTCTGAAAAGTTTAGCACTTACTTGTAAGTGAACTCTAGTTAAACCTTTTCTGCTAGTGAACTCGAAATTACTCCTCATAAGAAGGTAAAGCAAAGCACAGGACTCTTGCCTAATAGAACTTAATTTACTATTACAACAACGTAATAACTCGTAACACAAGCGTCCACACAGAACTGCATTTCCTGTAAACATTTTTTATAATAATTAATTAGAGTTACCAAGAAGTTTACGTCGTCGTATATGTTATCGTAGTTCATACCCTGAAAAAGTATTATGGAGTAATTATTTAAAAATGCCCTAAAACTGGCGAAAACATGACGTAGTAATGTTTCAGATTGACCAACTTGCAAGAATGACAAATATATGCTGAAAACTTTTTGCATAATAGGATTATCACCATCTGCTGCTAAAAGTACATCCTGAAAAATGTATGTAAGTTAATTCTCAGTTACAAATATCCAGTTTTGTAAAATGTTGATATATTATATTATATACCTTAAAGTGAAGGCAGAAGAGTCCTAAACAGTCTAATGCAATAAGACCAACTTCTGTCGCCATATTTGCTTCTAACAATGCCTGATGCATTTTTCCACTATCACTTTCAACAAGATTTTCCCTGGCTGTAGTGTTATGAGGTTGTAAAGTGCTAGTAGCAGGTCCTTCGCTGGTAAAATCAGGAGGCGCCATTCTGGCTGGCAATGTCATTGCTTTTACTGTTCGAGGTTTTCCAGAACTGTTTGCTGCATTTGTAGCAATTTGTCTTTTTCCAACATATTTAAAATGATGAAGACTCATCCTAGAAAAAATTATAACGTCTGGTTTACTGAGCAAGACTGAATGTTCTAATATTGCATTCGTAATATTGGGCTTACTCTACAACTGAAAAAAAGTTCAAAATTTCACAATCGCTGCACTGCTGCCACCAAGCAATTACTTGATGATCACCCAAGTATTTTATAACGAACAAAAAACAAAGCAGAATGTCTTTCACTTCCGCTGACTGTAATTTATCGCATCTGGGTGATGACTGTGTAACACTCAAAGAACGTGAATGTCTCTTTTTCTCGCTGGTGCCATTTTCGACAGGTTCACGAATTACTATTGTAGTTTCCTGAGATATATTTGACTGCGAGGCGCCAGACATAGTTGATGTGTCTGATTCTATACTAGTGCATGAGTATCCGTTAACTAATCCTTGCCCTGCTATGGCAGCAAAATACGTGGAATCTCGTAAATGCATGGACGCTCTTATTGGAGAATGCGTATCCAAATGTAAGGTGAGCCTATAGAGAATATTTCATAAAAGTTATTCCAATTGCGTAACTTCAATTTCAATTACATCTAAACTGACTTAATCATACCTGTGTATTGACTTTGGTGTTCCAGTAGCTGTTGTGGTACTATTAGTGTCTTTGCTTGCTAAAAAAGAACTACTGGTTGACATTCTGTTGGTACCATTTTGCTTAGTTTCTGGTTTAGTACTATCATATACAGATTGTAGTCGTTGCAAATTTTCCAATACAATACCCAGCCATGGTATATAAATGGATGCTATTCTACTTAATTGACCCTACACAAACAGAACATAGTTAACCAGAAACTACTTTATTTTAATATTAAGCATTGTATGATAAAACATCTCAAATTTACTTTTAATGATACAATTCACTCGAACAATTATATTATAACTGATTTACCTTGTTCTGATACCTATCATCAAGTTCATGCTTCGCCATTAAATCTCTTAACGTAGCTATTGCCACTTTTCGAGTTTGTATAATTTCGTTTAGAGATGTTTTAACCTCTTGCATTAAGAGTCCAACCAAAAAGTGATGTTTACAGAAATCTTCAGACAAGCAATACTCGTTAATTAAATCTGTAACGAACATCTTTATATAACATCTTATATTAAATGTCATAAAAACATAAAAGAATGCACATTCAAGGGCCGCCCAAAAATATTAAATATCCAACGAAAATAAAATAGCTTATAAAAACTATTTAATAGATTGTTATAAAACTTTGACTGTATGCAATTCATTTCTAAACTCTGTTGAAAATGATTTTTTATTGAAATTGCTTATACTTCAATAATGACAGAATTATTCTATTAACCTGTTTATAAAATATTTGTAAAATCGTGCAGTTCTTTGTATAAAAATCTTTTCAAACAGTGTACATAAATATAAAAATAACATTGTGTAAAAATACGTTCTTAAACATATAAAATATAAAATATAACATGTGAGTATATTGTATGCGTGTGTATATATATACAGGGTGTTCGCGGTAAATTGGACCAGCGTTTTTCTCATAAACAGTAAGTATTTCAAAACAATGGAAGAGGTACTTACATTTTTTTTCGAAATACTTAATGTTTATGAGAAGAGCACCCTGTATAATCTATTTAATGTGTGTATTAAATAGTGTTAAGTACTAAATATGCCATAAATTTCGGAATCTTCAGTTCTCAGTGCATTTCAATGATCTAAAAAACAAGGCTTGCATCGCAGTAAATAAGAATGCCATGAAAACACTGTCTAAAAAATCTAGTGATTGATAGTGATCAATGTTAAGAAAATTATGTGCAACTCCCACTCACTATGGCTACAGTAACAAACCACAATAAAGACGGGAGTGTGTGACCATGACTTAACATACCATCACATTCTGGATCACTCTCTGTATCTTCTAAATAAAGCATAAAACGATTATATTACATTGTTGAAGATACCGAGTATGATAACAATTATTCGTTTCGGTTTTACCTCTGGAAGTGATTCGTGATTGCATCATTGGTAAGTTGAAGGACACGTAATGCTCGTGCGAACAAATTATTTGCAGGAATGTAAATTTGAAGTCGTGCAGTGCACGTGGATCTCCAGGTGAAAAATTGTCCATGTACGAATTGATCAAACGGAAAACGAATCCACGATCCATGAACGTAAGACATCGCTGTAGCAGAACATTTAAAGTATTTCATAAAGCAGGCTTGTAGAAGATACACGACTAACATGTTCCATATTTATTTACTTTTAGAAATTGTGCAAGACTCTTGTTTAATTCGTGAGTTTCGACAGTCATTTCCTTATACTTGTTCATAAGATATGGCATAATAACCTCCACTAAACTTCTAATTTTTTCATGGTATTCTTTCGAAAACCTTTCATTCCTATGCATCTGTAAAACGATTTAGTTGACATATATATATTCCACGTGTTGAGTCAACAACATACTATTTCATGACCCACCTTTATTCTTCCTGTTGAAAGTAGATGTTGTGCCATGCTTTTTATCATTATTTCAAAAAAGAAACTAGAATGATGCATAAATTTATTTACCACTAGAAAGTCAGTGTTACTGGGCTCTAATAATGTAGGAAGATGTTTTCCTAACTGTTCGTGAACTGTGACACTGCCGTTTCCTTGAGTAGGTGATACAAAAACAAACTGCGAAAGTATTAATATACAAAATTAACATTCTCTCTTTAAAATGATTCGTAAACAATATTTGTAATTTCCGAGAATTGTTTACCTTAATATAAGCTTGAAGAATTTCTTTTCTACCAGCTTCGTGTACCATATGTATAAAATGTATTAACACTCTTATAATAAATAATCCAACTTCTTCGTTCGCTGTATGCGTTAATAACGTAAACAGTTGATTTAGTATAGTAGGAAGAAATGTAATAACAGTAACCAATTGTACGGCATGAGTAGCTTTTAATATCTTGCACGTTTCCGAATCCGCTGGTACTGCTCCCAGTTTTGTGTCCAGGATTCGCTCCATGTGAGCAAATAAATTATGCAAATGTACATCACGCGTAAATACAGTTGAAATTAATTGAAACGCCACCGTGAATACTGGCCGCTGAGAGTCAATCCATAGAATTTCCGGTCCCGCATTCTAAAAAGAAAATATAAATATCATCGAATCAATTATATTTTTCATCATTTTTATTTATATCTATCTGTGTTAAATGTTAAAATATAAATATTTTATTTTATCTTTTTCTTACCCCTTTTCCAAGCCCAAGTGGCTGTATCGAAAGATATCCTGGTGGTAAATGTGTTGCTACAGGTAATGCTTGAACATTCACATCCATATCCACATTCAGTCTGCATAAAATATGTTTTTTTTTTACAATTGTATCATTTCATTATACAGACTCCTCTCGATTATCATCTGGCTTGTTCTACACAATTATTGTCCAAGCGTTATCCCCACCACTGGGTGGGCTGTCAAGCACATACTTTTGTTGCACCTCCGTTTTTATTGCCGAGGCTCGAACTTCGGGCAAAAAACGAATTTACGAGAGACTGAAGCATTTCTCCCTATAAGATTCTTGTCTCGGCGCGAACACGAGTTCGGGACGATAATCGAGAGGTAATAGTCTGTAATTTATATACAAAACATAGAAAGTAAATACACGGTTTAACGCTTGTGTAGGCAACCGAGTACCCAGGTACCAATTTCGAAATTTCCTTTCACAACTTTTCATGTTCTTATCTAAAACAACACTTGGCATATTATAGGAAGGGAAAACTAAAAATTTCCGAAAAATATGGAAGTAAATTTATCGATGTTTATCTAATCTGTCAGAATAGGAATATCCTGATTATTCAATAACCGTGAATATTTTGGTTGCCCCACAAAAAGGTTAAATTCCAAAAGTCATCGGTTACGGAACACAATGTCATACCTTCCTTTGTACAATAAAGGCGACCAGGCATATCCAACACAGTTTTCAACTCCATTCTCCTTCTTCTTATTCATATCACAACTTATATGGTAAAAAGAGAAAAGTAAATGGTGCTTAGAATGAAGTTTCGTCGGCAGTCGTATTTTAATTTCTTCGTACCACGAGGGAACTGAATTGTGATGTAGAACTGAGCAACACGCTCGTAGACATAAAAGCGGAGCACCGGGTCTTCCATATATACACTATTAGAAAATATGAGGAAAATAGTAAAATAATATCGCAACAAATGTCCAAGCGAAAGAAAAATTTACATTATACATACTCTTAAAGATGTAGTATTTTCGCTATCATCATCTCGTAACTCAACGATGCATGCAATATTTCTGGCTCTTGTAAATATCTTCTGTGCATCAAAGCACAAAGTTTGTGGATAAACATAAAGGTGATTAATGTATGTCGTATAAGGATGGACATCTTTTTCTGAAACACTTTCAAACTCTGCCACTTCAAGGGTCGGTTCTGACGTTGGTGGTAGTGGGAATGGCTTTAAAGCTGCGAAGGACGTAGACAATGTGTCTAAACGCATAAAAATAGTATATCACTTTCACTTTCGTTCATTTATTGCGGTTAATGAAAAATGATAATTTTCATTATTGAAATACATACTGTCGGGTAATTCTGTAATTGACTCAATTTTTATTTTTAACCATCCTGGTATCACAGTTAATTTACTAAGTTTTTCAGGTCTAAAATACGAAAGAGATATCAGTAAGCATTTGTACAAAGCTTAGTCCACATTGCTCTCATACATACTTTCTGTACTCCGAAAGAAGTTTTAGCAATTCATCATCCTTTATCTTATTTCCCTCTTGTCTATATATTGCTGGAAAATCAGACGATGTATCTAATTCGTTACTATATAATCTAAATAAGGGTCTGGCAGCCCAAGCGAAAGGCATTCTATAATTTCCCAGTCTGGAAAATAGAAATCAAATTTAAATTCCATAAAAGAAAATAGTGCACTACAATAGAATAATGTTCTTGTAATACAATTACAGATAAATTTACCTTTGGCAACATGCTTTGACTTGTTTATGCACTTTCAAACCTAATCGCGGATCTTTTGTAGCTCTTACATATGGTTCTGAAGTTTGGCATATGTTCCCTTGTAATATTTTATCTATTCTTACAACCAAGAATATATCAGGGTGAGGATTACTAATACTAAATATGGCCTATAAACATAAAAAATTAAATCAGAGTTAAAATAAAAATAAATTACGAAAATAACAGTATTAATATCGTCGTAACAAAATGAATATTTAAAATTACACACCTGTTTTGGATATTTAATCCAATCCGAAGGTATATTTTTTAAATCATCCGGTAATTTCATATTGTCTGTAGATTCTGTCATAATACCTACAGGACTTAATTCCTTTACAATTTCCTGGACAACCTCATGATTAATATCAAAATGAAAATTCTCTGTAAGTTTTCTACCATTTCTTGCATCATAAAGACTTAATGTTGTTTGATATGGCTCCACCTGACACAACGACTCCTTTTCATCTATCGGTGCTTGCAATCTAAATTTCAGACTTTCACATTTCACAAAAATTCTGTGCCCAAACTGCTCTTTGTATGGATCAACACTATATTCACTCAAACTTCCTGGCTGTTGTTTACTGTGCGGAATATGAGGATAAATACTGAACAGTCGTTTGCGATTTTCACGTCGAGCCAATGCTATACTCGTATCAGTTTCTCTGGAATATTTGATCAATTGTGGATTCATACTCTGCTCTAAGCCTTTCAATGTTCCATAAACCTGTAAATATTGTATAATATAAAATTTGACTTTTAGCAAACTTGTTTAGTAAATATCTGTCTAGTATCTTTCATTTTTACATTCAGTACCTGCATAGGTTGAGGAGATGGAGGAGGTGTATTACATGCTCGTTCCAACGAAGCAGCACGCTTCTCTTCTTGTTGTTTATAATGCTGTAATACTGAGCTTAACTTTAGTAACCAATCCTGCATATCTGTCTCATTATCTGCTGCTAAAGTATACGACTTATGAGTCCCGCTCATTCTTAACTCAAAACAATACCTTCCACGCTTTGGATTCCTCGCAACTTCGGTACAAAAATCCATTACTATTGTCAATTTTGCTTCTCCTTTCTTCTCATCTTTAAAAAATTCAAGAATATATGTGCCATCAACTTCTTGTCTAAGGTGACAAAATCGTCTTTTAAATGATTTCGAGCCAATATGTGCAAACATTCGATCACTGCTTCCGATTTCTGGTCCTTTCATTAAATATCCCTCTTTTGTTATTCCATTACTCCTTGTTAATTCCTAATGAAATTAAACAAACTGTTATATTTGTTTATACAACATTCCGTGGTACTGAATATCTTACATATACAAAACGAATAAAACTAACAACAAAACAGTTGGTTCAATGAAACATAAATGGGAGGAATATCATAAAAGTAATTTTTTGTAAATACGAACTCTACTGCATGGTAAATTATTTCTGCAAACACCAAGTTTCACAACAAATGATACAAAATTTATCTAAACTATTTACATATTTATCATGACAAATTATAATTTAAATACTGATATATTTAAAGTGCTAATCTTGCTTATCGAATCATGCAACCAGATAAAACACTGCAACGAAAAATATTATTTGTATAACATTTTAATATTTACATTAAAGCAAAAATTTTACCTCATCAACTTGGTCTACTTCAGTATCAATTTCATATACTTCATCTTTCAGATCATCAGCTTTTGCTATTCTAAAAATATAAGAAAGAATAGGTGAACTACATTTTACTATCTAATATACTATTTAGAGAAATATAATTATTGATATGACAATATCAAAATACAATTCTTTTCACTGTTTGAAATATATTATTTGGTTTTGTGTTTCATACACTATAGTTGAAATATGTACATACATATAGATACTACAGGGTAATTCTCTTGCTGCTTACACTAAAGGCTGTGTCGCTCTAAAAAATTGCTGTCGGCTTGTGTAATCTGTAAATCGGTCCTCACTGTCAATGATGCAGGCTCTTCTCAGAGTGGCACGACCTTAGGTTTGCGCAGTGAGAGAATCACCCTGTACAATACAAACTCGATATTGTAACACATGCATTACACATAAAAGTTTATGAACTTGATCAGTTATCTGAATTAAATAACAATAATTAAACTAGAATGAATGCTTTTATCAATGTAGAAATAAAAACATACTTGGGCAATTCAAGATAAGTTCCACTGTGTGCTGAATATTTATAATGTATCAGGTTCCAATTAGACGTATAACTTCGCAAACATTCTTTTGTAAGAAGGTTCTCTCCTCCTTCTTCATTATCTGAAACTTGTGGTACTGTGGGTGTAAGGGTACGATATCTCCTGGGCAATACCACTTGCTATGTAAATGAAACATTTTTTAAATTATTAGTCTTCATTAAAATCCCTTATAATCAAAGACTCATATATACGTTACAGAAAAATTTGATAGTATGTTGTAAGCATTAACATCCTATGTATGAATTCATAATAATTTATCTACTCATACAGCGGATGTAAATTCTGATAAGTAGATATGAAATACTGAGTTGAAACTCACTGATACATCATCCTGAGGATAAAGCAAAAGCTCTCTCTGGGGGTCATTTTGTAATAAAGTTTTATTTTTTAATACAAAACTTTCAAAGTCTATGGGTTCTACTAGATGAGGCTTATTCTGAAAATAAATAATATTTTCATGAAATAAATGAAGATGAATGAAAAGAAACATTATGATTATTGCATTAAATTAATTCAATTTCCTTCCAATTTACAAAAAAGATTACTTTAAAAGTTCAAAAGAATAAAGGCAATGTCGTTAATTAAATAAGTGATCCATAATGTATGCACATTAGAACTTCTAACGGTATATTCTTTAGAAGTTAATCATCAATTTATCAATCTCTATTGTGTGATGACAGTAAATGGGCCAAACAACGATCAAAAGAACACAATTTGTCCACTGTTCAAGGAAATAATTAACGAACAATAAAGACAAGGAAATACAAGATACCATAAATGGACACGTTCCACTGTGAATAACATTATCTTTAAAAGAAGCGGAATTTCGTGTTTGCGAGTCTATGACTAAGAACAAGGATAAAATATCACAGCATAGAGTCATTGTAAATGAATAATTACTTAAACATTCATTCAATTTATCTTCGTTTCGAAGTATTTATACCGAGAACTTTGTACACTGTTGACAGTAATTATCATGAATAATAAATTAATAATGTGATGGAAGTACCGATAAATGGTGTCAAGGAGAACAAACTTTTATCGGTGTCGGTTATTATTAAGGACTTATTGTTTGAAAATCAAGTGACGAATCGTTGGGAAGGATCGAGCGGCAAAAAGTATCGAACTGAGGATGTCAACGGTCCTACCTGTACGGTGCTCTCGCGTACTACCTGAGAGACAGTCTCCCGTAATTGAGCGGCCATTCCCGGCTTGCCCAAGCCGCGAGTAAACTTTCTTTCGCTCATCTTTGCCGATGGCACGTTGATCTCATCACCGTACACCAACAAGAACGATCACAAACATCACGCGTACTCATTACACACGTCTGTGGTAACCACTCATTATTGCCGCGGCCATGTTAAGCGGCTTCTAAACTCACGTCGTGTGTAGCAACGCGTGACAGCTCACCCTATACAGTTTGCAGCGTAATGCAATTGCTGCGAACTGTATCCGGTCGGATGTCTTTGGCCTGAGATTATATTGTTCACATTCTAAACTTTAATCGGTGAACAATAAACAGCTTATTTTATTTCTGAATGACGTCTACTTTATTTACATCGAATTGCTGAATCAGTAAGATATGGGAGATACTTGTTTCATCCGGATCATTACGAAAGTAGGGCTACGACCTTGTTTGACTAATTTATTTAAAGACCCCTGGATATTATTTGAAATAGGGGCATTAACATTTTATTTTGTCCAGCATACACTAAACCTGGTATATTTAAAGTATTAAAGAGTTTATTTGGATAATTTAGGACTGGTAAAATACTACATTTTCCTTAAGTTTTTAAAATATTCAATAAACTATTATCCTTAAATTATTTACAATTAATTGTAGTATGAAAAGCTTAAATGAAGTACGTAACAGAAACTCATAATTAAAATAGAAAATATTTCGTAGTCGAAAAATGTGCTCGTTTAGCAAATTAATGCGACCCAGTACGACCTGAACAGTTATAATAATGTAGAATAATATGTACATAGAATGTATGATAAAATGTAAGACTATCTTCAGATTGTCTGCATTTGAGAATTAGATAAACATAAGCAAAACTTATCTACGAACTTATTAAATGATTATACTGATAAGTTTCGCTTATATTTATTATATAATATATTATTATTGACCAAGATAAGCATGTTCCACTTCTTGGAATGTCATCTCACATTAAAAGATTTATGAGGAAAATATATTCTTTACCGTACATTAATATGAATTAAAATTTAATTAAAAAATTGTCTGCACTAAAAAGTCAAATGAGTGAGAAATTTATATATAAATGTTATAAAATTTCATATGAATTGTACATACACTAACTGTACTACTTATACACAATAATAATAATAATTAGTTTTATGTAAAACCAAATCTATATGTATCTATTTACCATTAAAACAGTCTAACAATCGAAGTACGATACAATATTTTAATGATAAATGCATTGTCCTGCAATTATAATATTAATCAGTTCTGATATTTTGTACTATTTTTTTAATTCACTTCCTATTAAAATTATTCATCAGTAGACTCAGAATGTTTATGTAAATTCTCATTTTTAAAAATATAAATTATGTGAATAGAAATTAAATACGATTTTATTTTATTACACTTTATTTAGTTGGATCTATTACAAATGTATAGTCTAGTCATCAATATATTACCTGGAAAAAGTAAAGTTATATCAAAATGATGAAAATATTTTAGAATATTTATTTCTGGTGCATAAAGGAATTGATTGGACATAATTAGTTTCATTATGAGGAGCATAAATGATACCTATAGAATACTGAGAATGCCGCATACATTAGATTACGGCGTGAGTCTAAGCTGCAGTCTACAGTAACGTTTGAATTTTACAATTTATTAGTATCGTCGCCGTAAGTGCTAAATGCTGTACAAATTAATTTCCGTTGAATACGATTTTTTAAACTTTCCGAACGAACGACCGTACAAATTCTCAGCAATAAATATTAATGCTGCATTTGTGCGTGTTTTATGTACCATCACGTACGCATTTTAATAAATTATTGTCAATTTTTCGTTGAAACTCTCGTTCAGTGCAAAACTGGCTTGAACCAAGGTGTTTTTCACTTTATATTATGGATGACGAGCTCGAAGACAGGATTTTGTATCAGGTAATAATAGAAATAATTAAACATAATATATTTTCATATTTCTTAGAAGTAAAACTTACAGTTTAATAAAATAATAAATTTAATAAACTTAAATGTTTAATTCGTGATTTTCATATCGCGTAATTCGTATTCAAAAATAGTCTCGGTTAGCTGCTCCTTTATTTTTATAACACATACTTAAACGATAAATTGGAACAAATAAAATTTATTATTCAATTGTTCGATGATACATAGTACAATTCAATAACTATAACATTCTCGAATAATCATTATCACTTCAAAACATACATTTTTGTTATAAAATAAGATATTTAGCATTATTGTTTATAAACCTTTTCTAATTGTGCAATAGACATATCTGTCACATATGAAGTTGGTGTCAAAGTTTGCCGTGGGTATTCCCACCGGATTACACGCTGGGATAAATAATCCTTTGGGTTATTTTTGGAGAATCATGAGAGTCTATGCATTGAAGCCAGAAGTGTTAATTTGTGGAGCAATTTTGGCAATAATTCTATTCTACATACAAGCAGTTGATGTGTGGAGTCGATCATTATTAGGAAGAATTCAATATACCCTTGGTCGTACCACATCAAAGGTATCCAGATTACAAGAATGAATATGAAGAATAAGTTAGCTATTAATATAATAACATTTATTCTATTAGACCTTATATATTATAATTATATCATCATTAATGTAAAACAAAATATTTTGTTATTTTAAATATATTACAAATGTCAACAATTGAATTTTAGAAATAGTAAATGTATATAATCATTCATTTCTAATAGGTATCAAAACTACAGTTTTTAGTTAATGATTCTGTAAACAATGGGATGAAACTTAGTTGGGAATTAAAACAAGGACATATTGCTGCATATGCTGTTCAAGGTCATAGACCTCGTATGGAAGATCGTTTTGTTGTGAACGAAGATATGAATGATACAGGTGTATCTTTGTTTGCCGTATTTGATGGACACGGTGGAGAAGTAAGTTTAGCAATATACAATACATTAATTTACCTATACATATATATATTATAGGAACTTAATTTATAATTAAAATATTACTCACAGTGCAATGTTCAGTGTTAGCCTCTTTGTGTAAAATTACAACTGTTGTATTTTTATGATCCTATATGATCATTGTCAAAAATTTCAGATTAAAGAAACAGGAATAAGGTAAAATTAGTGATGGTACAGTTGTTTGATAAATCATAATATACTAGTATCAGTTAAATTAAAATACCATAAAATGTAATAATAGGTCTCAGTGAAATCGGAATGCATTTCTTATATAAATTTATTATTGAACAAGTTAATATATTCATTTATAGTATACATTGTTATGGACTAATACAAAATATTTTTCAACTACATATTAATGTAGCTATTGTTTCATTTCATTATAACTGCTTAGCTTATATAGGACACTTCAAGAGGAGTATTTTATAATTAAGTTATTATTGTTCACGGAATGAAAACTAACATAGTGCATGCAACAAATTACAGGCAGAATAATATATTTTTATTGAAAGTATAGACTTTTGTTCAGATATAGAATAGACTATTATAGTATATGAAGGATTATTAGTGTAGATTTAAAAAAAATAATATGAATGTGTAATAGGTCATTGTTACAGCAAATTATATTGAGTATAAACTATAATCCTCATATTTACTTAGATATCTCTATATTATATTAGAGCAATCTGTACATAATAGACAAATTGCATCTTGAAAATTAATATGCAGTTAAACTGTTACAGTCCTCGTTTAAAACTATTTGAGAAGATTGTTAAAGTGTAGCATATATATAATTAAATAATATTATAACATACATTAGTAATAGTATATTAACCATACGCTAATATTATGAATGTATATTTTATTAGCAGCCATACAATAGAATTAGAGCAAATTTTTTTTCCACAGTTTGCTGCAAATTATGCATATGATAATCTTATCCCGAATATTAATAAGAAAGTGCTCGAATTGAAAGATATGATAGCTGGTAAAACACCACATGTTCAGTTAACAGAAGATGTGGATAAAGTTGAGGAACATCCAAAGGAGGAGAAAAATGATGGTGCTCCCGAACGGAAAAAATCGTTTCGCAAAACAGTCAGCACATCTCAAACATACGATTGTATGAAGAAAATCGTTGATGTAACTGATCCAGAATTACTTGACAAGTTAAACAGGTTGCAGAGACCAATTACAAGAGAGGTATAATAAATGTTAGATATCCCTTTAATAAATTTAAATAACAAAAGTCAACTTTTATTGTAATTATAAGGTAAGGCCATGCAGGACAACAGGAAAACCAGAAAAAATAGATATTACAAATTATCTCGATGGAAATAAAATAAACTACGGTAGACTACTAACTGACGAAGTGTTAGCAGTCGATCGATTGTTAGTCGAAACAGCTAAGAAAAATATGGATGTCGCTGGTAATCAGTTCATCAGAATTTATGTTATTTCATTTCTATTTGAGCGTCAAAATAACTATAATAGTTCAATTAATGTAGGTACAACTGCCTTGATTGCTCTTTTAGAAGACAACAAATTGATTGTGGCAAATGTTGGCGATTCAAGAGGTGTAATGTGTGATGGAAAAGGAAATGCAATACCTTTGTCTTTCGACCATAAACCTCAACAAGTAGATGCTTCTGTTTATGTATATAGAGTTTTAACTGTACTGTCATTTTTTTTTGTTTATGAAACTTTTTTCCAGGAAAGAGAAAGAAGGAGGATAAATAAAGCAGGCGGCTTAGTTACGTTTAATGGTGTATGGAGAGTCGCCGGTATATTAGCTACTTCTCGAGCCTTGGGTGACTATCCACTAAAGGATAAAAAATTAGTAATTGCCGATCCTGACATTTTAACTTTCGATCTCAGTGATCATAATCCAATGTTCATTGTTCTCGCATCGGATGGTTTGTGGGATACTTTTACAAATGAAGAGGCTGTGGCGTTCATTAAGGAACGTATAAATGAACCACATTTCGGAGCAAAAAGTATCACGCTGCAAAGCTATTACAGGTAATGTGAAGCAGAATAATACTGGTGTTCGACGATAATTTATATAACATTTTACTGTATATTTGTCACTTCAATTTACAGGGGTTCTGCAGACAATATTACTGTGGTTGTTATCAATTTGAAAGATCGTAAATTCGGTATTTCAGAGATCAAAAAATATTAGTAATGTTTTTATTATGCAACTAAACTACAATACTTCCCCAAAGATATTCTGATCATTAATTACATAATAACAACTAGTAAGTATAAATCTGAAAAGAAATGAGTGTACTCTGGCTGTGCGTGCGTAATATAGAAAAATTGGATGTTTCAATCATTATCAGAATATCTCTTTTTACAGAGAACAGCATCCGTTTTATGTAATTAAAATATTCAGTATACTTTTCTGCAGCTACTCCATTTAATAGTAATCTTAAATGGATAGTAATCCTGTAGTAGTAGATATTTTATTATTGTATGCATAGAACTTTGCTAATATTAATTGTATCATGTATTTGATATTGTCCGTTTCTTGAAATATCAATTTTTCTACTTCACCAGCAGTATGTGAGTACAACATTTATGTATACTTCTGTACATTATGCATTACTATTGTAATAATGAATTAAATATATGTAGTATATACAAAATTAAACTAGGATATAATTTTTAAATAATATGAGTTTGGTGTACAAATGTGGATACCTGATATTTATTTTTGTATAAACTAGAATGAGTGAATTCTGTAAGAGTGTGATCTGATAACTCACACTTATGTATGTTAAAATGAATGCCTAATAGTAACGTTTAAGTGTTAATATAACATTCACACGTAATAGTTTATGATTGTGTATGTTGAAGATATACAAATTTGAATATTTTAAATCTGAACAAGTTTTTTAACGTAATATATGCTTATATCATCTTGTTATTTAGAAAAATTTATAAAGCATTCTATTACATATATATATATATATACTCTTGAAAATTATTGTATTTAACTATAATTCAAATAAAGTGTAAATTATTAAAAACAACTTAAATCAAACAGTATTATTTGAAAGATATGGAAAAAATACAATAGTACTGAAAATGAGTTATGTAATTTATAATCACACCATATACACTTGTACAGTGTCTCAGCAAACTGGATTACCTCGAATAATGACTTAATGCTACACTTTATGAAAATTTTGAGGCATGGAAGTTAAATGGCATCAAAGGGCACATTTTATAAGGTACGTGCTTTTTTGTGGGTGGAGGCATTTAAAAAATTTCAAAGTCACCTTGACTTTTTTTAACGGAATGACCTAGTTTTTGTACCATACATCGATAAAGTATCAAATTCTGAGTAAAAATGTTTTGACCTTCATACGCCCTAAACCTAATAGTTAACGAGATATTTACAAAATAATCACTGTAGTTGAACTTGAGGGACATCAGTTTGAGCACCTATAGCTTCCAAATAGTAAGTACATACGTATTAAAAGTTATTTTGTAAATATCTCGTTAACTATTAGGTTTATGACGTATGAAGGTCAACATATTTTTACTCGGAATTTGATACTCTATCGATCTATGGCACAACAATAGGTCATTCCGTTAAAAGAAATCAAGGTGACCTTGAATAAAATTAGTTGTAAATTTCAAAATTCATTTTATTACACAAATTTTGAAATACAGAAAAGCTTATGAGGTTTAAATAAATACAATTTCTTGATTGTAAAGTGCTGCCAAAATGTTTATCCTAAATATATATATTATATTTTACATTATACTATAAAATATTCGTTTATTGAAAATTAAATTAATTTTTAAAATTGTATATGTATTTCTTCAATTATATCACATAATAATCGGTTACGTTTCATATATTTGTTATAACAAGTGTTTAGGAAGCAGCAGATTAATTATGTTTATAAATTTTAATAAATTCTATAAAAATGTACATACACTTATATCAGATTGCAGTAATTTTTATTATAACTTTAATGTATGTTCAACTAGTCGTATGTAATGACATAACGTTACAATGATTATTCTTAGCATGTGTAGAAACAGTTGTATCTTGCATTACATTATAAAATTTTATAATTACATTGAATTTGATACCACAGAATGTTCTCACAGTTCAATGCAGTTTTTGTAGGTTTCAATTTATGAATATTCAAGGTTTACAAATATATTTTACGTAGAATAGTTATGAACACATTAAATTATACACTTTGGCATATTATTAATGTAATTAGTATGTGGTATAAATCCATATTGATTTACCCTCTTTTTCTGTATGATATTTATATTAACTTTCATGACTTATTGATCAGAGCCATTAATATTTAAAATTCCTGGATTTCAATTTAAATAGTAAACATTTTTTAGTAATATTTGAAAGTAACTAATAATGGAATTGAACTTGAATTGTATAATTAAAATATTCAATCTTGCTCCCTGAACACATTTGAAATTGTATGTACATCAGTGCATATTAAGATTCTTGTATGCATTATCCGCTGAAGAAGGCAAATACATTTTATGGACATGAGTGTTCTTACTTCTTAATTGTATTATTTTGATTGATATATAACAAATAGTAACGCATACACAGTGTTTCTGTATATACAATGTTTGAAATTATTTTTAATACTCAAACACTTTCGTGAGTAGTTTAGTGTGTATATTTTTTAAAATTTTATTATAAAAAAATTGTACATAAAATATTGCCGAAATTTTGTTTATATACATAGCACTTAAGCTACGAATCTGTGAAATAACGGTGTAAACATTTAACAAATTAATATATCACAATCGTACTTTGAAGAAACATAAATATTTACCATCCTCTCAACATAACAGCCATTTACATTTGACATGAGTTAATTATCAGTCAATTCAATTATCATAAATTAATATTAATTTCATTAGTGTACATAAGTGCATATTACATTATAGATGGAATTAAGCATCTTTTTATGTAGAGCAGATTTCATAGCATCAAAATTGATACATTGGACTAACAATGTCCAAATCCTCCAATGATCACTCATGTCCGAAAAATTTAAATATAAGTAATATATACAATTTTTTTTTATTATTTGGTATAAATTATTTTATTTTCCACCCCTTAGTATTGAATCAGCAATAGTTCCATTCAAAAATGTATGTCCAATGAATAGTTGTTTTCATTTTAAAGTATATCAGTAAACCATCAAGGGTATTATGTACATCTTTCTTTCTTATATCATAGACTCATTTTACTTGATGATTAAATATCAACCAAGTAGTTCAAAGTCTTCATCAGATGTGTCATACTGGGGATCTACATGTTCGAAATCTACAACTACAAAAAGTTATGTTAAGATCTATTGTATATATGTAGATTAAAACTACTGAATACAACATTGCCAATAAGTAATAAGGTAAAAACTCAGTAAAGATGAAACATAAGGTAAAAAATTAATGAGAATTTAATTAACTCTGCATTCTTTACAGTGATTTACACGTTTGTTCACGGAAGGTGGTCACATTTTTTCGACCAAAACACGTATCAAACTATGAATTTTATTTCAAAATTAAGAGAAAATTGATCAAAAATGGACAATGAAAGTGAAGATAATAAGGATACATAAATAGGAATTGCATAAAAATGTTTGCACTTAATTATTATGAAGTTGTAATATGTAAACAAATCCTATCAACAATTTTGTGAACGAAATAGTTCATTTGTATGTATATAAAGGTACTTACAACTTACAGCTGCTATTGCTTCCGAAGCAGCATCTTCAATTGGAGACCACTGTGTCAATCTTTCTGCACACAATTCTAATAAAGGTTGCTTTTCTGGAGCAATTAGTTCTTCTTGAATAGATTTGCATAAAGCTTCAAAGTCTTTTTCAGTCGCGCAAAAGAAACACTGCAAAGAACGATATGATTTCTGAATTACTTCCAAACTCTAATTCACCATGGAACAGATTTAATTATGTACTTACAAGTGCTACAGAAGGATCTATTCCCGTAATAGGAATACGACTAGCAAATTTGCAGTGATAAGTAGCATCCATTTCAATGTCCTCCTCTTCTAACTTTTTATCAACACTACCGTATCTTTGTGTTGTATGGGGATCTAAATAAATTACTTCATTTCCTGTGAATATAAATGTTATTGTTTATTTCTTAACACATTAAAGTTTTTAAATGCATCACAAATGCACACATACCAACACATCCTATAAAGTACAGCGCAAGATTGGGTTTTCCTCCTATTACTCCTAGAGATTGTGAGATTTTGAATGAAGTCTGAAAAATTATAGATATGAATAAATATGACCCTTCATTTCATTCTTATTTCAGTTCATTTTTAGCCATTCATGTAAAAACATTTATTTTTGTATTACCTTAAGCCCGTTAATGTAGATAGGATTAATTTCGCTTAACCCAAGACGAAGTGGTATTAAAAGTAATAAAGGCTTCCATTGGCTAGGTGCTTTTAATGGTACATCACCATCTGCTTCTGCTGTGGTACCTCCTTCTACTCTACATTGTCTTACTGTAAAGATTCAAATAAATTTTACACTTTAATTTACACATATATCAACCATGACAATCCATTCGATTATTCATACTCACAAACATCATTAACTATTAATGTATTGTCTAGAGCCACATGTATTGTGATCGAACTCCATTCATCGTGCACAACTAATTTCCTAAAAATTATAATTTATTAATACACCAAATTATTCATGTACAATAATATATAGGAACAGAAAAAATATGTACTTTAATACTTGTGCTATCGTATTAGGACCAAACCATTGTCCAACTTCTTTCCCCTCTGTAGCTCCTGTTAATGCAATTTGGTGAATAGAGAAAGCAGCACCTCTTCTGTCTTCAAAACGTTCCAAAATTTTCAGGTATGTACTGTTTCTAGTTTCTGGTGCCCATTGCCACTCTTTACCTTTTTTTATGTGTACATTATATAATACTTAAAATCTGACCCTTAATTGTTGCTTATTTTATCAGTATAAATGTAAACAAAAAATTAATTACATACAAATTACCTAAATGTAATGTAATTAAAGCTTGTCCAAGAACCATTTGTCCACATCTCAACATGCACCCCCAACCCTTGTCAGTTGTGATTGTAGAATTGTTACCACCAATTGATTTAAAATTCTTGCGATAGGTGAACCATAATTTGGACCTTATATCTCTACGAATTGCATCCAATTCTGAAATTCAAGATTTTACACATCCATGTTACTAAAAATCTCTTTATCATAATGTTTTGTTAAACCTTTTATAGCATTGTATTTTTTTCCAAGAACCCAAACTGGTTCATCTGTCTGTGGTATATCTTCTGGTTCATCTAAGATATTCTGTGTGAAAAGGCTATCCATTTTTACAATTATTATAAATACTTTTTATATTAGTTGAAAATCTTCAATGCACCATAAGGATGAAATGGTCTGTTTTCCTACAAATGTAAAAAAGAAATTAGTATGTTTATATCAACAAAAAGAAATAATGGAAGTAAGGTTAAACGTTTATCAAAGGATAATGATATTCTATCTATATATATACATATATATGTATATATCACACATATATATATATATCACACACCACCTTCAGTTTGACGAGTCCGACGAGACAGCATTGGTCGTTGTACATTGAGTGAAGATTTCCTTGTTTTCACAAATGACAAATATAACGTTATTTGATCACTTTACTAAAACGTCAATAATTTCATGATAATAGCACTACAGCTGATTAATAAAGATATTTAAGATACTGAGATAATCAAAATAATTTGTATTCTTGCGAAGCGTAATATCAAGTAATCAAGCATATACACCAGAAACGAATGTATATATTGCTATGACTAAAATATTTTATGTTTACATGATGTGATTCATTGAATATCAAGTCTGATCAAGTCAAACACATATTAATTTTTCGTGTTTGGCATTTTTACACTTCATAGAATCTGCAGTTTAGATCGTTTAGATATTCTTCATCGCACTAGATGGCACATCCATTTTAACTCCGATTATGCTTTTATCCACGTGCACCCCCTTAATGTTCAAGCCACAGATATTCTAATTCTAAACAATGAATTTTAGGATCCCAAAAATCGAAACTTCTTTCGAAACTATAAAGGTTGAGACCTTACATATAATATGTAAATGGTTTCATATCTAAATGCGCATTAGTAAGCATGCTACGGTTCTGCTTGTGTTTAAGCTATTCGATAAGGGAAAACCGGTCCTTATAGACAAATTTTCATGAATTGACCAGGTAATATATTATCATCGAAAGATTTTTTTCGAAACACTGTTTTCAAAAGAGTGACTAGGGTAACAAAAACAATGATTATAATAGGCTGATAATATTTTTTTTATTTGATTATTTGTATGCAATCCTTTAAGAAATAGCATTTCTTTCTGAAATTCTCACATGCTTCTAAATAGATGAAACTGATGTAAGAGACCCCATGTGGTGAGAACGTGGGTCACAGAACCCCCGGTGGAGGCGCCAGGGACCCTGTGTGGTGAAAACGTGGGGTCATAGAACCCCCGGCGGAGATGCCAGGGACAACGTGTGATGAGAACGTGGGGTCATAGAACCCCCCGGCGGAGGCGCCAGAAACCCCTGTGGTAAGATCGTGGGGTCATACAACCCCAGGTGGAGGCGCCAGGGACCCGTGTGGTGGATCGTGGGGTCATAGAACCCCCGGTGAAGGCGCCAGGGACCCCGTGTGGTGAAAACGTGGGGTCATAGAACCTCCGGTGGAGGCGCCAGGACCCGTGTGGTGAGAACGCGGGGTCACAGAACCCCCCGATGGAGGCGCCAGCACAGAGGAGATATAAGAATAGACCTACATGCAATGTAATTTTCTGTCCCATGCTTCGAGGGCGTCAGAAGCCCCCGTATTTCGATAAATTCGATAAATGTAACGAATTACGTATTTTAAACGACTGCTTCAGTCCTAATCTGGGCCTGTTTAAGATGCCTTGAAGGCGCCTTGATTTGTCACATTAGGCGGTCAGAAACTGTGTCTAAGCTGTTCGTAAGCTATCCAAGACCTCTGAAATGTGACTGGAACGACTGGAACAGGTGTCTTTAAGTCGTTGTGAAGCCGACTGTGTGCTATTTGGATTAAGGTCACGATATTATCCAAAACATTTTTTGATATCATTAATATTTTTTCTTGCACATTTTCATAAGTAAAAGCTGATTATATGTGTAAAAACCGCCATATCCACTGCTTGGGACTTAATGGGGGTTAAGAACCACGCGACGGATGTGGAGAAAAAATTAATGACCACGACAACATGGACGGACCGGAAACGAGAAAATATTTACGAATTACCGGACGGGATTGGTATTGCGTAATATTCGAACCATTTAAACGACGGACACGGTGCTCCGATTGGCGGGGAGAACAATTTCCAGTGTCCTGTATACATATGTTCACCTTCTACCTGTACGGCCGACTACTTACCCACTTAACGTTTTCCGTTTATTCCGGTCAGTCGTTCCACGCTGCACGGTATTATATGACCATTTCGTCTACTCTGTTTACGGGATTCGGTCCTCTCTCATCTGGCGACAGTACAACATTGTAATTCGTTCTTTTGTTTGAATTAACAGTCAAAATTTTGCAATCATCATTTTCATTTTATCATCCATTGTGAGTTCGGGAGTAGCAGTGATAACACGATAAGAAAGTTCTGTGTTTTATGGATTTAATTGGAAGGATTAAAGTGCTGCAAATTAGATAATTGAAACGCAAGTATTTTTTTTTACATTGTTTGTTATTTTTTGTCTACAGTGGTAATTTTCAGTCAATTTTTTCTATTCGTCTTTTGTTTTTCCTTTCTTTCAAAGAAGTCAAGCGGTCGTGATTCCGTCTGATGTCGAATTGGTCTTCGGTGTAACTTTATTTTATAAATTTATTAGGTCGGCGGGGACTGAATAAACAATTATCGATAGGGTGTTATAATTCTACATAATTTCCAGTATTTCATAGTTTCGTAGTTAATTTTAATTCTATAAAATTCGATCTTTGTTACTAGATTGAATGCTCGTGCGGAATATTATATTTGTAGAATGTGCTTTAGATATGAGGATCAAAGAAAAATTGATTTTCACAATTAAGGAGTTTATTGAACTCAAAGTAATCGTAAACAAATCTCGTTGCTTTTGAAACCAATTTTCTGTTTCAATGCATTTCACATACATGCATAAAATCTTCAGTCATAGGTAGTTATCTTACTATGAAATGTTCGAACGGTCATCATTTTTCTACAAATTAAATAAAACAAGAAATGATGTTCCATTTAATATTTACGTGAATGTTAAAAACATCACAGTATGATCGTCTATGTTTTCAAAAATGGCGGTTTTATATGACCAATCTGTAATCGAGTAATTACTGTTTTTTCTTTCTTTGTTTGCATTCTTTACCCAGCGCCGAATTAAGGGGGGGGGGGCTGCAGCCCCAGTCTAAGTCTTCCATTTATGTCAAAAAATAATTCAATGAAATTTTGTTTATTCTTCCTTCTTGAAATAATTAAAAATTCGACTAAAAGTAGAAATAAATTGAACCAAAGGTGTTAAAATATATATGATTAAATGTTATTTAACTTTACGTAGAATAAATTATAAATTTTGAAGATTTATGTATTTTATTGTATATTATATTACAACAATCCCCCCCCCCCGCTCCCCTTTTAGTTTGAATTTTTAGTTTGAAGACTACTATGACTTACGATTAACGAATATGAAACGCTCTTTGGGGATATAAACGTTTACGACTTCTTATCGTTCTGCATACAAACTGAATTTATTGTTTCATAACTTTGAATCACTTTATCAATAAGATTCTAGATCGCGATCCGAACTCGATTAGAAGTTTTGATTTATAATAAATAAACTCGTTATAACGATTGATCAGTGGAATTTATCTTTGCACCAGTGTTACGTAGTAATATGTATTTATTACAATTCTATTTTAATTAATAGTTTCTTTATGACAGTGAATCATACTCTACTAGAAATATAAATAAATTTAAATAACAAAACAAACATATATTAGTTTCTTTACAAGTATATAATATCAATATATATTATAAACAATAAAAATTAATTGAAATGAAGAATAAATATTATATTTATTATAAATTACGAATAAAAATGAAGAATTATCGTACGTTAGAGATTGATACTGTCGTAATAAGTAAATCAAGAAGCATTAAGTTAATTTTTAAGCAAAAGTGTATCTGGTATGCTTACACATATCCGGTTGTATCATATCATTCGATCGAATACCTTTGGTCAAATGTCAGTATTATTTTTTTTTATGAATGAAATCTCTTGCATCGTAGCTCCTTTCATGAACTGGATTTCCTTGAAGCTTTCTACACATGCCGGTAACTCGTTAACGTATCAGACCTTCGTATGAATTTCGTTAAGGCGGTCGACCCGGAAACAAAAGCCAATTTTTTTTTCATCTGTTTCCTGAACACCCTCGAAGTATTAATCTGTTAGTAGTTATTAATCCGTTTATGTATTTTTTTTTTGTCAACGTGGTAACAGCGAAGTAGTCAGTAACAAAGGAAATACCTTTTCTTTGTTCCATTCAAGTATTAAAGGATCAACGCGTTAACCCTTTAACGGTGGAATTTTCGTTAAAGTTTTCAGGAAGTTAAAACCTTAACGGTGAAATGTTGTTTTCGAAATATGTATTTGCGTGCGCGTAAATAAAATTAGTCGATGCCGAGTATACGCGTCATTGCCCAAAAAGTGGTTATTTTCTCATGACGAATATATTCGTCGAATATCGTTAAAGGGTCAAGTAGGTACACAGATAATTTTGAAAACCTTACTGTTTATGCCACATGCGATGCGATCATTGTTTCGAGCTGTTAGAGTATTTTTCAAGAAATATTATGAAGAAAATACAAAGGGATTTCGGAAGGGAAGTGCTGGAAATATGATTATGATATATGAAATATGATAAATTGTTAGATACATTTTGATCTCCTCTTTGTAATGGCATACAAAAGAAATAAGTCATTCCATTAAAAAAAACGTTACCATTAGAGAAATCTCAGAAGATATGACCTTGAGATGACCTTCAATCTCAGCCTAATTTCCCCTCTAAAACACACTAACTTTCTCCCAAACCATTCTTTCGTACCGTGACAAATAAAAGAATAATTAAGGGTGGCAGAGTTTGGTGGGACACCCTGTATATAATTACAAAGAATTTGGCAATAGTTATAAATGAGTCAAACTGGCTCTGCAGTCGCTATACGAGGGTTAATAGCCCAAAGGTATGTAACCCTTAATGCATAAACTAAAAATTGTTGTCGAAACTGTGCCATACGACGTTTTTCCTTACAGCCACAGAAATACATTTTCATGTTCATTTCCACCAAACGTCTACAGATCTTATCTGAACGTGCGTTATTCGTGAATTCGATCCAGAATGTAGGAAAATGAAAGTGGCACTAAAGGAAGTGGCGGCTACATGGGCCGATCAATAATCTCGAAGCGACACGACTGGAAAGTGTGCAACACTTCCTATATCATTCGTATCGCGACAATCGTGTTTCGCTCTCGATCGCGTCCCGGCACGCATCGTTAACACGATCTTAAAATTCGGAACCTTAAACTTTCGTTCGATCACACATAGAAAAAAAAAAAATCACAGACTTTCGTAACACAACGTAAACAACTTTCATCGATAATACCGTTCGAACATTTCACGTGAAAAATAAGAACACCCGAAGTGATCATCACCAGTGGATTCACATTGGGATAAAACAAGCCAACCGAAATCCTCGAAATCATCGAATATTATTAAATTTCGAATATTATTAATTAAAACTCTATAAATCTCAGATTTATAAAGAGAGGGCACAAGAATCATGACGCCTCTAGTAACTTTTTTTTCGTTGGACTAGAATGTCGCGAAATACGCACGACAAATGGTCGTTCGATAAATCACAGTTCAAATATGTTGCTGTTCGTGGTATATTATTTGAAGGATTGTTCTTTCGTATAGAAAAATATCGAAATGGAAGAAGATGTTGTATCGACCGTGTTTCATCGATGAATGGAGAAAGGAAAGGGCAAGACAAGTCCAGGGGAAAGTTGTGGCCTGTTGACCGTCGCTATGGCGTAATTTAGAAGGATTACGGTAGAAGAAGTGTATACATATGAACGCATTCTTATCGTTTGTGCACTGAATAGCCGGTAAACAGTCGGACGTAAACCTGCAGGAGGTGAGGGGAGCTGCCACGTGTGTGTGCACAGTTGTTGCTTCGCGTGTAACAGGTTGTCGCGATAGGTCCGTTAAAAATGTCGCGAGAATATGTCAGCAGACGAATGGTGGAGTCGAGTGAATTCGAAAAACTGATAGTGTATTCGGACGAGGAGGTATTGGACAAATTGAACATTCATACACAGTAAATACTCGATAAGTGGCTCCTTGACACTGACAAGGAAAGGTGGCCAGGTGTAACGTTGGATTTAAAATAATTAATAAATTATTATGGCCTCGTAAATAATAATAATAGCTTTAAATGTTTAGCACAGTGATAGAGCTTGGAATTTTGAAGTCAATGGTATTTGTTCTAGCCACATATGTCAATTTATTTATGAAATATTTAATGCTCAGTGATAACCTTCGAACACTCATCGAGGATTTACAGTACAGGGTGTTTCGCTATTACTAGCCAGCGTTTTTCTCGCAAATAGTAAGTATTAGAAAAATATGAAGGAGGAATAGGTTTTACAGCTCTCTATGACTAATATAATAGTGCATATGAATTTTTTACGAATGTTTTCCGAGAAACGAAAGGTGATCTTTAATTTTTTAAACGGAATGCTATATATTTTTTATGTTGTATAAAAGCGTGCGACAAGGCGAATCCATTAATATGCCATAGAATGACCTCCAAGGTCATGCAATGTCAGAAATGAAAGAAATGTTTTGAATATTTCGTACTAATGTGTTTACAGGTATTTTTCATTAATACGGCTTAGCTCGTTAAATGTAACTGATTTTTTGTTTTTATTTTACTATCTGAGTGGTTGCTTTTGCTTCTACACCTCTGGATTTCTTTTTAAGAGGCACAGGTAAAGATATCGTTTATGATACATCGCCCAGAGATGGAAACGATTTGGAAAGCAAAATAACGCAATACAACATTAGCAGAAGCTACCAACAATGTAATTCATAGAGCTAAAATATGCATGCATACACAAGGAAGTCATATTGAACATCTACTGTAGCCTTGTCAATAAAGAACACTTGTACACTGTAAACACATTGGTATGAAATATTCGAAATGCTTTTTTCATTTCTGAACTTATACGACTTTGAAGGTCATTCTATAAAACATTGATGAATTTGTATTGACACGTACTTTCATACGACATAAAAAAATATACAGCATTGCATTTAAAAAAATTGAACGTCACCTACGTTTCCCGAAAAATATTGCAAACATAAAAAATTGATAAATATTATTATGTTGGTCACAGAAAGCTACAAAACTTTTTCCTATTTCATTTTTTTCTAATACTAACTATTTGCGAGAAAACTGCTGGCTAATAATAGCGTGAAATATCCGGAAATGTATGAGAGTGGATTTAAATAATAATAATAACTATAATGGATGGATTAGTGCAAAAATGTATCAGAGTTGATGGACATCACTTTGAGCATTTATTAAAATAAATTTTCTGCAAATCAAAAGTAAGTTAGATACTGAAGGTGCTCACGTTAGGTGGGACACCCTGTATAGTAAGGATGAGCAATTTATAGAAAGTAGAATTAATCAACTTGACTTTTCGGTGGCTCAATCACGTAGCCACCACGGTGGCTGCGAATATTTCGTTAGATCGTCCGTATGCCCTCGGCGAAAAGGAAAAGGAAAATGAGTTTTAGCCTGTAATTAGCGGAACACCTCCCGACTAATCTCGTAATAATTGCATAGAATGTAATGGTTTTGTCGAGATTCATGCAAAAACACTGCCTGCAATAATGATATGCGAAAATCTGAAATAAATATTGTTTAGGAGATTTTAAATCTTGACGGACGATATTTATGCTAATATAAAATAATAAAAGTGGCCCCAAAGTGTGTTATTTGTAGGAAACATGCAAATACTGCCCTTCTTAATTACAACGTCATAGCTACCGTTTTTTCATTTTTCTATTTTTTCGACAGTGTTAGAATGCTCTACGTGCTTTGTAGGGGTCAAAAACAGTTTAATTGATTTGTTCTAACTGCTGTTCGGATAGTTTTACTAACTTAACATGCTCTATGTAGTATCTCCTAAATTAAATAGTCCTAAGTTAATATGTAAAAAGCAGAGAGGACATTTTATTTTGAAACTGGAATAAATCATTTATGTCGGCTAATTCCTTCCATGAATTAAATGAAATGAATTGAAAAGAAAAGGTGTTCAATTTTAATGATTTTAAATGTGCTGTATAAGACGCAAATTCTACAAAAGTTGACGTTTGTGAAATAAAAATTAACCATTTCTTTGATTGGCTAAACTTCGCTGCTCAGTATAAATCACAAAGAATTTCTCCGAAGATATACTTGCAGGATTTTGTGTCTGTTTAATTCACAAGAGGACAAAAATGATTAAAGTATAATTTAATGAGTTCAATTTTCTCACTGCAAAAGCATTTTAAACTAATTTACCAAAACCAAAATTCAGGATCCAATGTAAAGATATATCAGCGAAAAGAAGAACAAATTTAATTCCAAAATTGAAAATGATCGTGACAGCCAATCACCTTGCCATTTGGGAATTATTACCAATGTCTAACAGTGATAATTATAATGATGACGACCGATAAATATTCGGTCTTATTTTACATTCTTTAAAACGTTAAAATATCCTATTTGAGGTGTTTAATTAATTGCTACGTTAGTAACACATATACTAGCCTCATACATAATTCCAAAAATTATATAAACTATTACGACGTAACGACTAAAATTTTGAAACATTAACAAAGAAAAATAGGGACGTGATATAAAAAATTATAAAACCTCATTTTTCTCGGATGTTTCGAAATGTTAGTTAAGACAATTTAACTAAGGAGGGCAGAATGAGCCAGATTACCTGACATTTATGAATAGCAGTGTATGTATATGTACGATATAAGTATGAATTTAAAATTTTCTTTTCATCGAAACTGTAAATCTCGAATATTGTTATACCGTTTACAAAGCAGTGATTTTATTGCCAATGATTTCCGTGGCTCCATTGTCGGTTTGAAGTACGGGACTTTCTACTGTCGTGGTATTGTCAGATCACTGCTATAATTTCTGTACATAATCCTTTCTCTGATACTAACACAGTTCTACATCTATTCATGCCACTAGCAGTCACTTGTTCGATTCGACAAATTCAGAACGCGTCAAAGAATAAGGTTTTCCTTTCGTGTGAACAAAATCGATCAAATTAATATAATTCTTCACGTTCATTTCCATCATAAATTTAATTACACGTAATATATCAAAAGAGACGTTGAATACAAATTTGTTACTATACCGAATAAATAAATGGTAGCGCAGATATTTCATAATTTCGCGAAGTGTCGAGTAGATTTCGCTGTACCTGCAGTATTTGAAACCATTGAACCTTGCAGGACACGATGGAACGAAAAAAATCCTCGGTCGAGTCAGCCAAGGATATAGAGTGCAGAACGTAAGTTTTACAATTTTGCAACACGTTTTGCTTCACTGCAATACACTTTCTCTCTTTTTTTATTTAATTGAAAAATAACACGTTGATTTCACCGTTAACGCAAGTTTCTAAGAATTTTATTCATTGTTTAGTTGCTTACATCGATAAATAGTTTATTTAATATGCTTCTATTACACTGTGTTTGATTGTTGTGTATAATATAATACATCTTTTAATAGCATTCAGTATCGTATTCATAGACGAATTCTTTTGGGTTTGGGGTGACGCTAGTGTGAACGCTTAGAAGCCATAGCGGAACTTTGGCAATTTGTTTTAGCTAAACGATAAAATGAATGAGAAATCGGATTCAAGGCCTTTATTATACGTGTGTTTTGAGTACACAAAATCATTTAAAAATTTTGTTTCAATTGTTATTTACAGAGATTTCAATGACAATGTAATTTTTTTTTTATTATCGTCATGTTATTAAGCATTTTAAGACTAATTCAACGACATACTTGAAAGTTTTGTTTGAATAATCATTTCTCGGATTAATTAAAAGACGCTTATTGAACTTGACATTTGCCAGCAATATTGGTACAGTTATCGGAGAAATTGTTATTCAAACAGAACTTCTAAATATGTCGTTAAATTTGCCGTGAAATGCTTAATAACATGGCGATAATAAACCTATGCAGTTATATTTTAAAAAATTACATTGTTATTGAAATCTCTGTAAATAACAATTAACAAAAAAAGTCAAATATTCTATTAAGTTTACTCTATGAAACCAATCAACTTTTGTACGAAACAGTTACTCATATTTTCAACAGAGAAATAACGGTTTGAATTGAAGCTCCACCGTAACTACAATAATTGTATAAAAAATAATTCATATGAAATGAACCTAATGAAATTTGGTGTGTTTATAGAGAAATATTCAAGGAATACCATGTATGTATTTTTTTCAGATCTACAAAGATACGAGTATGAGTTCGTTTTTGCAAAAAAAAAGTTTATTTACAATTTTCGAGAGTCTGAAGCATTTCTCCCTATAAGATTATTGTCCCAGCGCGGACTCGAGTTCGGGACGATAATCGAGAGGCGTCTGTATGTATCATGACCATCAGTTCAAAGACATCCTGTATCTTACTCACTGAAACCGCCACTTGATCCTGTAAACCAGATATTTCTGACAGAGATGGGCAAACTCATTATCTATATAAAAAGTTTCGAATAACGAATAAAAGATAAAAAAAGTATTTCGTCATTTTTAATTGCTTAAACGTGGAAATTAAAAATTTTTATAACAAAATAATACTCCTTTATGAATAATTGTCATTTGTCGAACAATTTTTTAATCTCATTAACTGTTTAAAGCTCAGGATGACACTCGTAGATATTGCTGTTTTTCACATCGAATAAAATTCTGCCCAACTCTGATTATTGAATCTACTGATCTGTCGATAGTGTCAAATACGAAGACGAGGTATCGTCATGGAAGTTTTGGAAGAAAAGACGATACATAGTCGGGATATTGGCGTTCCTCGGATTCTTCACGTCGTACATTCTTCGCGTGAATTTGAGCGTAGCCATTGTCGCGATGACTGCAAAAGTCACGAAGGTCGACGCAGAAGGAAATTTGTATTCCGTAAGTAACAGAACCGATCTTGCTGTTGGTCTGGTAAATTGGTGAGAAAGATTTCTCCCGACGCGATGGTTCCACACCATTTTTCTTCGTTCTTCGTACCATTATTTACAGTATCTTTATTTCTTTTTTTCTAATGTATTAGACTATAATGTACCTATTATATTATAAAGTAATATAAAGATAAATAAATATGAAGATATAAATAATATTAAATTAATAGGGGCAGCCATAGTGTTTTTGCATCTGGGCAGCCAACAACCTAGGAACAGTCCTGTATATTGTGCTCATGCATTTTGATAATAATTTGTCGTGGAATTAACAGATCAGATAAATGATTACGATCATGTAGTTTCGACATTATTGTCACAACTAAATGAAGAAGATTAATTTTTATCGATCGAAGAATGCTTGTTTGAATATTCTTATCGTGACACGATTATAAAATTTATCAATTTTATTTCGCACTCTACGAAGATCGATCAATCAAGTATCTATATTTAAACGATAGATTAAACGAATATCGATCAATCAAGTATCTATATTGAAACGATAGATTAAACGAATATCGATCAATCAAGTAACTATATTAAATTATAAATATATTGTGAATTTTATGCATTTATAATATGCACCATTGTGCTATAAGTGATTGTTATTATTACTCAGTAGATCCAATTTTCATATCTGCCTTGTACACGTGTGTTCGTGTAATAGTTACACTTATACAATTTCCGTGAAACGGTACCAAAGTTATACAGAAAATAAATAATGGTACTGAAAAATCGAATAAAATATGGTATTAAACCTTATTATACACTGTTCAAAGTGGTGGCCATCTTGCACCATTTAAGCTAAGCAAGTTTTATAAACAAAATTAATTTTTAAATACCAGGTATATACAAGTATATGTATTTCTTTGTTTTATAGTGTAATTGCAATTTAGATTCTGTAATTAGAGTATATTTTGCCCAACTCTGCTGTTAACAATGCCCACTTTTATATGCATTCAGATTGTTGTTTGCAGGATAGCGAGTTCGATTGGGATTCGAAAACGCAAGGACTGATTCTGAGTTCATTCTTCTACGGATATATAAGCACGCAATTACTCGGAGGATGGCTTGGAGCTCGCGTTGGCGGGAAAAGGGTGTTCGGTATCGGAATCGCAGCCACAGCATTCTTCACAATTATCACGCCGCCATTGACCAGAATAAGTGTCTACTTTTTGATCATATTGAGGATAGTCGAAGGGGTTTTCGAGGTAGGTAGTATTAAACTTCGAATCACTTTCTTCTTTAACCCGTTCATTCCAAAATTTAAAAATGACCAAAGAAATATTTTGTTGTATATTTGTATGTACTACATAACATAAATGATTCACAAGAATATTTTAACATTTTGGAACCGTCTAATACCATTTTCTCATCTGTTACCATTTGAAAACTTTTTACTTTTAATACAATTATATGTAATAATCTCCATTAAGTATGTTATTATACATAATAAAACCCCATTTTTCGTAGCTTTGATCAACAAACGCCTTGGAAATATTTGACAGAAATTAGAATTTTGTAAGTTTCTATTGTATTTGTAACAATGCTAGATACTTGCAATTAAAATATCATAGATCCCAAATCATTTGTCTAAATGAATACAAACGTCAAAAAACTAGTGGATTGCCCAGTATATGTATACAGAGATGACAAATCACTAAAGTTTTTAAATATTTTTTGTTATCAAATATTTTTTAGAGCTTACTTAGAGATCATATTTTTTCTATAATATCATATACACAAAAAAAGTAGTAACTCAAAAAGAAAAAACAGACATACATTGAAAACTTCCAAAAACTTGAAAATTCGAAGTCGACAAAATGGGAATAGTATCTTATTACAAAGATTCATACGAACAAAATTCATGTTACCATTTCTACATCGTTTAAGACGTAGGATCACTTCGTCTCAATTCTTCTAAAAATTTCAGCGCAATGGTACCTAGTATGTTATTCCTTTTAGCGTATGTTTAACACAATTTCTTATTATCCACTTATTTACGACAAATAAGGGTCAGTTTTAGCTATCAGCTTTTTTTATTGATTCCGAATCTTTGTAATTCGTCGCAGGGCGTCACGTTTCCTTGTATACACGCGATGTGGGCGCACTGGGCACCACCGCTGGAAAGGTCGAAGCTAGCAACCCTCGCGTTCTCCGGAAGTTTTTTTGGAACTGTGTTCGCGATGCCTGTCGCCGGTATAATGGCCGAACGCCTTGGCTGGTCCTCCATTTTTTACGTGTTCGGAGCAGCGGGCCTTGTATGGTTCTTCTTCTGGTGGATAATCGTGAAGGATAAACCGGAGGACGATCCATATATCTCCGAAGCAGAACTTCGATATATTAAAAGTAGCATTGGGGATTCAAATAAAAAGGAAGTAGGTGTACAAACGTATAATACTATACTTATTGTACTTTGCATTTTCCTTTATTAACGAATAAGAAATTTTTTGCAAAAAGAATGAGCTTCTTGCAAAGATTCGAATATTGGGTTATTCTACAAGTAATGTTGTTTCTTCTCTTAGACGAACTTAACGAGTAGTCATATTTTCATGTAAAAATTAAACAAGTGATTTGCAAAATATTACACTGTTACGGAAATAGTATGTTCGATGTATCAATAATTATATAAGTAGTCAACAGCATTCATTTCGTTCGAATGAAAATTAATCTTAGAAACAATATTATTTGTAGGACTTTATATTTTTGTAGTATTTTGGTTATTTTTATATACGAATTATTTTTCAATCGTTCTGTTTTCTACAGAAAATTACTCATCCATGGAAAGAGATGTTCACATCTCCACCAGTGTGGGCGATCATTGCAGCTCATTTTAGTGAAAACTGGGGTTTCTATACTATGCTCACTCAACTTCCAACATTTATGAATGGTTAGTACCGTACTATATTCGACACGATCAACAGTCATGAAGCATACTTGAGTAACGTATTCGTAGATGTACTCAACTTCAAATTGGATAAGACTGGATACTTATCCGCCCTGCCATATCTAGCTATGACTGTCGTTGTTCAATTTTCTGGACACTTAGCGGACTACTTAAGAACGAAGAAAATTATGACAACTACACAGGTCGGTTAAACGTTTACAAAAATATTTATCACACATATTTATTTGATTCCGTTCAGTCATTACTGTTAAAATTAACTACTAGTTATCTACTTTTAATAAGTGTCAGATTTCAAAGTTCGTTCAGTACACGTACACTTAATTGTCACTTGGCTCGTGTATCTATTTGTGTAGTCACTGATTATATGTATTACTATTGCTGTTAATGTTTTTAAACATTGGCGGTGATATGGCAGTATTTATTTACCACAACAACATGACAGATTGTAATAGTTCGTAGATAGTAAGATAAAATTTTACGTACACACTTGATGAAATTTCAAATTCTATTTTCTCAAAAATGAAATGATTTTACCATACACTTTGAATTTACTTTTACTTTTTACTTATTTTGTACTTTGCGTTCCGGCTCATTCTCTATGCGAAAATAATAAGGAAGTTTCCTGAATTCTCGTTTAAAAAATAAATTTACAGAAAATAAACACAACATTCTTTTGCGAAAAAATGTTTGGGATTAATTTTTGTTGTAGGTCCGCAAACTATTTAACTGTGGAGCTTTTGTGTTCCAAACAATATTCATGACGTGTACAGGTTTCATCTTTACCCCCGCAGGAGTGGTTATTTGTATTACACTAGCAGTTGGTATTGGTGGTTTTGCTTGGTCCGGCTTCGGGTAATTCTGTTGTTTTTCATTCCAAATATATATATATAAAAATATTTAAATAAGACAAACAAAGAACCTCTAACCAATACACTGCCCAGATAGCACATGACGCCTTGAAGACGTCCATTTTACGGCTATTTTAGGTCTAAGGCATCTTTAGCCGTCTTCAAGGCGTCATTAGGCGTCATGTGCTATCTGGGTATAAAAATAAGGGACTTATTAATGAAAAAAATTTTGTATTTATATAAAGTTTGTAAAGTTATACACTACGAATGCTGCACAATTTAATGATCTGTGTATAATATAGTAAATCTGTTTAATAGTCTTATTTTCAAATTTTTTAATTTAAAGTAAATTTCATATAATTTTGTAATATTTGATATGTTATATTCATTAATATTAAAAGATCATAATCAATACTTTTTCAAATTATATTTTTTAGAGTAAACCATTTAGATATTGCTCCTAAGCATGCAAGTGTATTGATGGGAATAGGAAACACTATTGCTACTTTACCTGGTATTGTTAGTCCAATCATTACTGGCTATATTGTTCAAAATCATGTAAGTTAACATTTTTATGTACTTGCGTAATATACTTATTTGCACCTGAAACAAGAGGAAATCCATGGCTTAATAACATATTACAAAATATGCATACCTCAACAACATATTACAAAAAGAATTAATTCCTAATTTTTATTTTATAAATTATAATGTATTATTATACGTTAATTAAATGTTTAAATGTAATTTACAGAGCCCAACAGAGTGGCGTATAGTTTTCATAATTGCTGGTGTAGTTTATTTATTTGGAGCAGTTATATATGGATTATATGCATCTGGTGAAAAACAAAGTTGGGCAGATGAAGATCAGGAAATGAAGAAGAAACAGTCTTATAGTAACCCTGCCATGGAAGTGGATAATTTATAATCTGTAAAAACATAAATTTATGAGCATTAAATGATTATATTGACAGGACTGTAGGATAATATATATGTGTACATACATAGCTATGTAAGTTACTATGCATTTTTCGATTCATCAGTATTTATAGCTACAAAAATAAAACAATATGATTTTATATTCTGACAAATGCATAAACAATTTTTATAAATTTAGTAATAGATTCTTTACAGTGACTGTATTTTGCAATTAAAATGTAAATAAAATACATATTTTTTCAATTTTATATGTACAGATTAATCGAAATACAGTATTAGACTATAATAAATAAATAATGTGTTTAATTAAAACATATTAGTATTTTAAACCATTGCAGTTCATTTAGATCTTAGTTTTCGTATTAAAATTTGATCTCTTTAGTATTAATAATTTCCAGTGATTGTCGATCGATCGATTGACAAAAATGTGAAATATATATCAATCCGGTCAATCAAATTTGGTTCAATGCTTGTTATAAAGTTATGGCTACAAATTCAATGCAAGATTTGCTAGGGCTACGAACAACTTGCCCGCACATTGGCAACACATATGCAGCAAATTGGCTCGCGCAGACTCTGTTCCGTGTTTTGTCTTCAATTTGACACAGGTTGTGTTGCTAAACTTGCTACCAATTTGCTTTATCATTTCGTCAGCTGGAGTTGTTTGCAAAACCCAAGCCAAATGCGAAAAAAGGTATGGCTATGGTTTTTTAGACAACTTTTGTCATTTATTACTGACAATTTGCGCGAAACTTGTACCACATAACTGATTAACAGGGTGGTTATCAGGGTGACGTAGTACATGTATATATGATGTATTCAATTCAAGATAACATAGCATAATGCTTGGGTAGGGAAAAAGAAAAAGTATCATTATGTATGTATGAACGCACCTGTGCGTATAGATATTGTATAATATATATATGTATATAAGTATGTGACGTAAGAATTTAGTCGTTCCCCAATTGGTGAACCAATGATCTTACGGAAGTGATTGAAAATAAACAATCACATTCATACAGTTGGCGAAGATATTTTCGTGTGACGTGTGTGACGTAGATCTCGATAATTTCACACACATTCGAAGCTAGATGATTTAACCATTAAAGTTTTGCTACAATTCATAGCACAAAACTACTCATCAATAAGAGGTTAGCACATTTAATGTTCATATACTATCTCTGAAAACGCTACAAGCAACCCATTTAGCAGTTTCGATGTAAGTATAACCTATTTCATACTCGCTAACCTACAATAATTTACAAAACAGACTTTTTATTAGCAGATTTGTAGTCTATAATTGTAGAAAAGATGAACTGTTAAATAGTTACACAAATATTACAATTCTCTGTATCAAATGAGTGAAACATTCTCACGAGTATTCTAATCCATAACATACACATCCTTCCATGAAATTTTGAATTTCCTGATTATAGTTTATATAAATCTGACTGCCACGTTTGTATAAACCACTAAAATAATTGGACTTTTCCGGATGGATAATGTACACTAATTAACAATAATTTACAGCTTTCATACAAAGATAGTAACCTTTTATAAGGTGCTTTTGACATATTTGTCTTACAGATGCAAAAAATAATGCAGATATAACGTACATAACATTATGCATTCCGAATTTTTAGAGTATAGTGCATTAAGATTGACAAATGTGCATATATTTAACTTGAAGTATAAATTAGTTGCTATTAAGTATTTTTATATTTTTATTTACTAATGATGTGTACATGTACCTTTGCAGATGTCACTAACTTTCCAGCAAATTGTATTGGATGCTAAAAAATTAGTAATTGGAATAGCACAACATGAAATTATTGCAGATGATTTGATAAGCGATATAGAATCAGTTTCTAGTCAAATCAGTAATATGAAACAGGTAAAAATGTTGTTTAGTTTTAATCTGTGTCAAGCTTTATAAATGAATATGCAGATACATTGAATATTATTTATTTTATTTGTAATGTTGTAGCTTAATTAATTTGTCTAAATATAATCTTTTAACATAATGTTAATATAATATAGTTTTAAATAATGAGTAGACAACAACTACCTAATATAAAAATAATATAATTTTATTCATTAATGGTATTCTATTTACAAAATGCTTTAATGTGATATGTTAAAAGAAATTATACTCATTCTTTTACAAACATAAAAATTAATTTGTTATTTTAATGTTTTGTATTTATAGTACCAAGAAGAAATAGAAATATTAAACACAGAAGCAAGGCACAGACCACATGTACAATTAATTGCAAGTATACACAGGGAAAATAAACATTTGCAAGAAATACAAACTCAAAATAAACAATTAAAAAATGCATTGGAAGATCATCAGCATGCTCTTGAATTAATAATGTCTAAATACAGGCAACAAACAGCAGCTTTATTACGTCTGTATAAAACTGATCTGACTTCATTACATAATTCAAAATATGCTAATGTAAGTATAAGCAATGTACATATTACCTTTTATTCATTACTAACATTTGATCATGATTCTTATAAAATCATATAGTTAGTTACTGTCACCAACATAGTCGAGAAAAGCAATACACTTTTGAATGGAAAATTGAAACATATATTGTCTACTACTTATACGTTTTGTTCTGTTTGTTAATAGAAGAAAATTAAAATAATAATTGTTGGTAACAATTTGTGTACAAAATTATAGATAATTGCCAGTCAAGCTGACACAATTCATGAGATGATAGCAGTAATGAAAACTGCAGCTGCCTTAGACCAAGAAAGTGAATTGCAAGAAAAAGAGATGTATTATAGTTTAAAGGAAGAAAATGCAACGCTACGAGAAATAGTGAATATCGCAAATAAGTATGGTTCCCTAAACAAGGAAACCGAGGCAAAAAATGAAAGTGTTCAAACAGATCCAGTAGACTTATAAAAACAATTTTGTAATGTACACGTCTCTTATATAAAGCTCATATTATTTATTTCATATTTTATAGTATAATTAATGTCAAAAAAGTGTATTATCTATATGCAATAAAGTGCACCTGCAACGTATGATCTGTACACATTAAAAATTTTTAATGCAATTTATTAAAGAAAAGCATTTGTTATTGTTGTTTTCATTTCATGTCATGATTTCGAATTACAATCATTGGTTTTCAGGATTACATTTCTTCTGAAACATAAGGAAGTATGTTTGGAGTACATACGTAATTTTTGATCCGCAATGGGATCGAAGTATTCGAATATTCGCGCATGCGCTCGCAAAATTTAGTAATAACAGGTATGCATTCCTAGGGGAAACAGAAATTATTCGTTTACTATATTTTTAAAACGATTGAAGAACGATAATTTTTACTTGCATGTCTCTCTCTGCGTTCAACGAAGGAAACATATACAGTGTGGAAGCTCGAAAGAAATTAATGTGTATCGTAGATTCGATATTTACGATCCCGTATTCGACGCGCTCACTGTACTAGTGCATATATGATTGTCTATTTGAATATATATTACATATATCTAGTACAATAACCGCAGTTCCATCTACATTCTGCCCTCCCATAGTAGCACCGTTAATGTGCATCGCGAGATGCTAGCGAGCTCCGTTTAAAGAGAGTGTAGGTTGGTGTGGGTGTGCATACTGCTGGGAAGACAGACGCACAAGTGAAAGGGTGATGGCAAGGAGTGGAGGTGATTTTCAGTGATCTTTAACAAATGGCTCTGTCCGAGGTGCACAATTTGGCTGCAATTATCGGCAACAATGGTTTTACTGTTAACAAGGTAAGCGATCGCGTTTCTCTGTCTCTGACTTCATCGCCGAAAAAGTGACGTTCATTTTCCTCTCCACTGCAAAGTACAACGCGATTATTCTAACATAATGCGTAGAGACAAATGTAATTGTATTGTTTAATGGATATCGTTTGATTAATGAGAAAATGAAGTATATTATGTTTATCATATCAGAGAATTTATTACTGAAATTGTAGTTACTCGATAATTTAATTAACGAAAACGATTCGAATTTAGTTCGTTGCTAATGCACGATACCGTAATTCTACTCCCGATAGGTTCAAAATTTAAAATTGTTGGATCTGAGGTCCGTAGACGTTGAAAACGAACAAACAATAATTAATTTGTTGAATTTAATGGTCGTACCATGACACACGTTTATGTGTGTATAGTCATATTAATAATGTAAAGTTGTTATCAAGTAAAGTTTTTGTATTCTGGTACTGTTAAATTTTTTTATGATACGAATAAACATTTATACAACCAGTAATACTTTCATTGTTGGGTTCATTAGAATTTGCTTGTAATGTAAAGTAAATTATTTTTTTTTATAGAATAACATGGTTGAACGTAACATCAGCATGTTGGAACCAAGAAATAATTATCCAACTGACCGCTGCAACACAGAATATAATTATTGGAACTATGACTTAATGGAATATAATGCACAAAAAAATGTAAGCACTTTTAAAACAACAATTAAGCTTCACGCATTATATAAAAAGTTTTAAATAGATTAAACATGGGTTTTCATTAATGTTTAAAACATTGTAGTAAATGTCAATTACTTATGAAATATCAGGTTTAAATAGTAAATTATTATGAAAAATATTTAATCATAAACAGTCTCTATTATTTGAAAATAGTTTCTTATATAAAAGTAATAAGAATTAATTTATGTTTCTTTTTAATATATGCATTTGTCAAGAGTGATAATATTTAAAAAATGACCCATGTAAATAGAATGAATTTTATTTCATATTATTTATATTATAATGCACCAATTATGTTTACCTGTTAATTAAAGTGTATATCTACTCAACTTCATTAATACTTGTTTTATCTGAACAATAAATTTAAAGTTACAATAAATATTATATTGCACTTATGTATGTTTATAAATAATTTGTTTGTGTAGATGAATATAGAAGATGAAGACAGTCAGGATTTAAATAATCCTATGGTCAATGATTTAGTCTCAAAAATTCTTGATGACGATTCGATTGTTAGTGACAATGCTCACAGTAATAGTTATAATGGCAATATTCAATATCATCCAGAAACACATCCATCTTCTATCATGGCGAGTAAAATGGAGAATAATACAGACCTCAATCTTACAACCATAGATCATTTTAATATTCATTCTACGTTCAGTAAATTACAAAACAGTGTTTCTAACAATACTAAACTCAAAAGTCATTATAACAATCTTTGCGGAGAACTCAAAACATTGAATTTAAACACATGTGCAGGACAAGTTCCAGATCAAGAGAATTTATATAGTAACGGAGTCAATGCATATCCAAATATATACCCATCTGACTCACAGTCGTATATATTACGTCCAAACGATGAAAATTCCTGTATTAGCGGAAATCCTATGCCTCTGTGCAATGACTTGTTAACAATAACAAACGAGACCGATTTAAGTAAACAATCCGCTAACTGGTCGGAAAATTTATCTACCGTAGGATGTACATCAGATTTATTTGGAAATTATCAACAAATACAAAATTGCACAAACCCAGACCTTAACTTCAATATGGCTCTAACATTGGCATTAGATTTCCCTGATCAAATTCCTCTTAATGAACTGGAGTATCATAATAATATTGGGCAAAATGGAACCACCAATACTTATAATAATCCACCTACAGCTGCTATGCATGAATTGTATAGCATGACTGCCAGTAATCAGAGTTACAGACCAAGTTCGGCAATGACTGATCTGAGTATCGATTCGGGCTTTCTGTCGAATTCTCCATTGCAACATTTTTCCCCAGCTGACACAAATTTGCACAATTGTTTTGGGAATAATGTACAACGCAGTTCCGCCGGCGACTATAAAGATTTACAAGACTCGGGTAGATTAAGCATGGCAAATATCTCCATACCTAACGAACAATTTCAATTTTTGCAACACGCTCGTAGTTACAAATTGGATCAAGCTGTGGACCAAGAATATAAACAACTGATCGACTATTATCCAGGTGTGAATGAATTCACCACAACGTCGATCAATAGCTTAGACACGAATGAAAACTGTCTTTTGAATAACGAGTATAGAATCGAGAACAATTTATTGAAAATCATAAGTCCAAAAGCTAAGACTATCGAAACTAAGACATACTCGCCAATTGGATTTCCGAAAAATTTAAGTTCACGACACACGCATCAGTCAATTGCGAAATATGGATACCACAATTATCAACATTACACTGCCAATAACGGCGAGACTTTGAAAATGTTACCACACAGTTCCACATCGTATCATGATTTGAAGCAGCCTAATAATACTAATACATACAAAATGGAAGGCTTAGATCTTACCAAGGAAATAGCATTTCCTTCTGTGAGTCATTTGACCAATCAAATAGCAGGGTCCTCAATGAACAAAGATACTTTTAATTATATTGTAAAACAACGACATCATATGCCAAGAATACAAAATACCGCGGGCATTTCGTCAGCCGATGTACTGTTCAATTCAGGAATGGTACCGAATCCGATTGCAGTCCGATCTGGAGTATTTCCATCCGTGAGGCCAGTTCCTGTACCACTTCCAGTTCCACGTCTATTTTCTGTACTTTACGGTGGAGGTTTAAGTCTTAGAAATGGAAGTGGAGCGGCTAGACGTACAGCACCATCGAGTATACTACACTTTAGACTGGAGCAAACCTACAAACAGTTTAAACAATTGGAAAAGGAACGAAAGAAATGCGAAGCTGGACTGGCCGCTCATTTTCCTGGCAAAAGAGTAACGAGCGCAAACAACATACCCATTCCTCGCCTACAAGGAAACCCATCACGTGTAGATCGTTTGATTATTGACTATTTGAGGGAACATGCACGTGTTATAACTTTGATTGCGAAGGTAAGTAGGTAGACGTCTCTGCTCCATTTTTGCTGATGGTAACACAATATTAAAAGTATAATCGTCTATTCTTGAAATAGATGGAACGACTGCGAGGGACCACAATGAATCAACGCGTACACAAAGCTATGGAATATTGGCTGGAAGCAATCAAATTTGTTCAAGAATGTCGTAAACGAGAAATCGCCAACGCAACTAAACGTCAAAAGGAAAATCCACCATGCAATCTTGTATATAATGACAACGGTATGTTTTTTTTTAATTAACTTAACACGCTTAATTATTATTACATAACTACATGATATAGAATGTTCAAGTTGTCCATTTCAGCTATTTTAATTCCATAAATTTCTATATGCTAGGTGTTCCAAGTAACAGTCGCCTCGAAATTTCAAAACTTTCCTTGAACTTAACAAAAGAATGTTGTTAAACAAAAGTTGAAATATATTCAACTGTGGGTAACTTTAGTAAATCAGAGTTTCTTTATCTGTAAATTATAACAAGTCTAACACTTATACATGCGTTACAAAGCAAAACATAAGTAGCGTATAAAAAGTCAACAGAAATTGTGCAATGTCACGGTAACTTTGTATCTTCGAACGTTCGATTGTTTTGTTCGAACTTCTTGATATACCGTGACTTTACGTAACTACTGTTGATTTTTTATACGTTATTCGTGTTTTTTTTTAACGTATGTATAATTGTTAGTCTTGTCATGATTCGTTCTAATAAAAAAATACTAAAAACTCTGCAGCTTCACTTACAAGGGAACATCCCGAATTGACAATTGCCGATTTTGATGCAACTCTGTGAAATTGTAGTTCTCATAAAAATATTGGACATGTATGGTTTTTTAGCTGCTCTTATTCACGTTGAAGGGAGAAAAACAGCCCAAAAAGTTAAAGATGTTAATTGTATTCGGTCGAGTACCTCGGAAAGTATTAGAGATATAAACATTTTTTAGGACACCCTGTATACATGTGTGAACAAAACAACATAATACACATTCCAATTTATTCCAACGCTTTGCGCGTCAGATCATTTTGAATACAAAAGCTCTCTTAAAGAATAGAACATTTATGTGCATTTGTAAGCTACTCTCTATCGAATATTAAAAAGAATAACACGGACATTGCAATAAAATGGCGACGACGTGAAGTTTCAGCCGATCGTTTTTGTTCGCAGATATACTAACATTGGCTGCCAGCGTCTACGAATTGACAAAGGCATCTCGGTACGCAAGAACTGGTATGTATAACGCATTACAAGCAACGCTGCTCTATGACTTGGACATCGAGAAAAAGGTTATCGAAACCTCGAAGGATCCAGTCCTCGAAATGAAACGTAATGAAAGTCAGGTAGGAACCGAGGTCGGCGACTATTCGAAATGTACCTAGCAATATTTCGAAAGCCGCTTCACCTCTTCGCGCAACGAAACATAGGTCGTGTCCAGCGGCTTTTCACTCGCGTATTCCACGTTACGTTACGGAAAAACAAGCTTTTGCTGGCGTTTTATCAATAATTTTATCGCTGAATGGAAAAAAAGAGAACACAATGCCGCCCACTAATCGCGAAACTTCAGAGCATTATATACGGAAAAAGTACGCGTGCTCACGCCGAAATAGGAAGAAGACAAAAGAGAAAAAAAGAATCGTATGCGTGTCTACTTTTTACAAGTTAATAGTGACTCCATAGTTTTCTACTACGAGACGACTCTAAAGAGGAAGCAAATACCGTGGACATTTTTATTTTTGAGTACGTTGGTTTCACGTGTTTCACAATGCCAAAGATAATAATCGCTTTCAAAAAAAATCCTAATCGCGGATTCGAAACTCGTAGAAGGAAAACGAAGAACAAGGTTGCTCAGACGTACTAACGAAAAACAAACAAAACATATATATGTATATATACGTTTGCAAGAATCTCCATCTATTACTCGTTTGCGTATGTGTCATAGGCTAGACGATATAGGCTAAATTCTACCAATATATTTGTTCAGAGTGCTAGACAGTAATTTCTTAGACTAGTTCAATGTGGCCTTCCTTAAATGTGTGACCCAAGATGTGTGTCAGGTAGAGTTGAATATCTCGATACCTTCGAAGAATGTCTTGAGTGATACCTTCTCAAGAACGTCTCTCAAGACGCTATATAGGGTTGAAATTAACAAGTCGCAGATCCAGGCGAACCTTTTCAATCTGTGAACCATAGCGCAGCCTTCGATTTGTACCGGTGATTAGTTTAATTATTATATACAAAACGCAGAAATGATGTCCACCGTGTATACATTACACACGTGAATCTTGACAATTTTCCTAGATGGCGTGCTCGGCGCGCACACACACACACACGCATGCAAAATGGGCGTACTCCTTGCGCGAGTACACACGTGTACAATGTTAAGGTATATAGAAAATTTTTAATTGCGCGCGCGTTTATGACGGAACACACCATTACTATATTCCTACATACTTATTATACTATATACGTACACGCACACATATACATACATTATACGTTCTAGGCGAATTCGTTAGTTTTACACACATACACACATGGCCGACTGTTCGCGAAGCTCAGCATTTCCGGTTCACCTGGTCTCTGTCCACCCCGGGGGTTGAATCCTTTTCACACCAGTGTGACTAATTACATAAATCAGCTCAAGAATTTTTAACGTTCTAAACGTGTACGCACGGACTGTACGAGATCGGTTTTAATTTAAGGATCGCGTAGTAGCACGAAGTTCTGCGCGGGAAATCATCGGACCGCCATTTCGATTCTTCATTGACTTCCCGTCGTCCTCCTACTCGATCGTTTCTCGGTGGACCCCGAGAGGGATTGTTCCTCCGTATATTTCTAGCTACAGGTGTATTCGCACAACGAGATACCACTTTTTATCAAAGGACCACGGAGTTGTCTAACGTCCAGCTAAGTGGTAGGGATGACGAGGCGACGAAACATGGCCGCCTCGAGGTCTAATATTTTGTTTCTCTTTTTCTTAATACATAAGCTGAATCGATCGGCCTGTATTATCGTTAGAACGCTCGTGAATCGGTCATCGAAATGGTTGGGGTGAAGCTTTAATGTAATCGTTTCTGTGTGTATGTATATAGTCGACTTCCATCTGTGGGCTGCATCGTAGCGTAGTTGAGATCCCCGAGCGAACGATGGATCATAGGGGGATTAGGTGTGTTGTGTCGGTTCGATTCCTCGATACTTCTATATCTTAGGAGAGATATCGTAGCCGAGTATATTTAATTTAGATATTATAATTAGGAAAATATTCTGTGACTCGAGACACACGACTTTCCTAGGCTGTCTTTGCGCGCCGACCGAGCGGTACAAATTATTATCGGCGACCTTGAACGAAATTGTTAGACATTTACAGAGGTTTTATATTGATGTTTCTCTCTTGTTCGAGTCGAAGCTGGTGTCGATCGAGATAATAATGCTCTCTGCTCTTCGAAATCATCGAATCATCGAGAGGTCGTTTACGTAACAGCGTCAGACTGAAATCGTTATTGGTACAATAAAAAGTTTCGGAGAGACTTTGATTTCGATCGAACGACGGATTCGAATCCGGCGGTATCGACGGGAGAGAAATCAAATTTGTTAATCCTAGGCTGTAGAGAAACTTTCGTTAGACAAAAGAAAAGAAAAAAAGTATATCGTTAAAGGGACGAAACGAAGAAGAAAGGCTAGCAACAGCTCGGCCGCAAAGACAATCTCGCGGCAAAATGGTCCGGGTACGATATTGGAATTTCTTGCGGGACCGCAAGGTTACACATACAGACTGTTAAACTCGCTTTTACAATAGCGCTTAATCCATTGGGGACCATGTCGAGCATCGTCTCCGTGTATCAGCGTACCTTAGGACCTCGTTTTTTGATCAGACGAAGGAAACGCTTGCATTTCTTCGCAATATATATATATCTCTTTTATTCAGTTCCGTCTAATTTCTTCTGAGAGTGTTGTAGGTTTTATATTTCTCTTGGTTCACGTCCTTCTTCGTGCACCCAGCTTTAGCTTCCCTTCTCCGTACAAAGAAAAGAAAAGAAACGCGAGCCGTAAAAGAGCCAGTGAACTTAAGGCCCGTCTCCCCTGTAGCGGCTCCAAAAAAAGGTGATATTTTTTGGAATTTTTTTTAAAGAGTGCAAAGAAGATACGGTAAAAAACTTCCTGGCCTTTATTTATTATACATTCAAATAAATAAACAAAATTTTTGTTTCAGTATTCGTGCAGCGTGGTAAATTATAGATGGCGCTAATCGGGTTGATAAAAAATCGCACCATACAAACGGTGCCCACGATATCCCGATGTAGAATAGTCCGAAATGAAAATTTCGAAAAGATTACTGGCCGCATTTGGTATGAGTTTTAACAAAGACACGGAAATAAGGGAGGAAATTTCACGTATATTATTGTAAATGACAAAAGAATTCATGCTTCAAAATTTTCAATAGTAGATCATGAGATAGCTGATTCAATGACAAAAAGGATATCACAAGAATTTTTAAAATCGGTTAATAACTTTTTACGTCGTGCTGGGCACGGTTTGTATACAGCGCAATTTCGGATCAACGCGATTAGCGCCACCTACAATGTGGGAATATTGAAAAATGATATTATTTCATTTATTTCTTCATATGATCCGGATAAAATTCTGCCCACGTAGCATTCTCTGTTTCGTTCCTTTAATAATTTTAATAGAAAAAATAAGTTACTTCTTCGTATGAGCCTGACAAAATTCAATTTTCTTTTTATTTACCTGAATGTATAATAAATAAAGGCCAGCAAGTTTTCTTTACCATATCTTCTTTGCCTTCTTTAAAAGAATTTCGTAAGTGTCATCATTTTTGCGGTCGCTAAAGGGGAAAGGGGCCTTGATATACATAGAACTCTTTTTCCCTCGCCATCCAGTTTCAAAACACGTGTACCGGGATCGAAACTATCTATAGGTTTAGCAAAAATTGCTGGCAAAACAAAACGTTATAGTATATATGTGCGTGGTGTCTGTTTAGGGATAGAATAGAAATTATCGAATGCTCATATGCGTACAACGGGGAACACAGGTAATTCGCTTGTGTCCCGCTGTAGCGTGTGCGTAGAGAGGGCGCTGTTACTGGCAAGTAAAGCTGCGCGTCGAAGAGGATGTTTTGCCGCGCAAAGATGGCGGCCAGTGCTTTACAGAATTTCCTTCCGCATTTGTCAGACATATTGTATTGTAACTGTGATATACATAATGCCAATTTGTACATAGACAAAAAAAAAGAAAAACGAAACAGAGTACTTCTCGGAAAGTGAGGGGCGAAGAACCAAACGGCGCAACGAACGCCGGCCAGTGTTTAGCTCTCCCTCTTCTCCGCAGGCTGGGTTTTTCTGTTTTTCGGCATTTCTCCGCTTCGCGAGTCGCACTTGACTGGTTTCCGTGTACGTATTAAAAAAACAGGGAATGTGATACCGACAAGATCAGCTTACACGCACCCGGTTTTACAAATTGTCAGGATGACTTCCGATTTTATATCGAGGCACCTGTAGACACGTGGGAAACGATCGAGATCTCGATTTCTCGTGAAAACGAACAACCCCCAGTTTACCACTAGACGCGTGAACACCACACTTAATCGATAGGGTATTTAGCTCGAATCTATTGTCAATACCGTATATTGCAATCATCCGAATTATCTACGCTAGTCTGTACTCGTACACATACATCCAACATTTTGATAATACGCGCTAATTACCGCGGCGAGCTTCTACACGTTTTCGGTCTTCGTTACACTTTCATCGACTTCTCCAGATCCTAAGCAAAGAACTGATGTACATAACACACACGCCTAATTACTTTACTGCGAGTTTCGTCCGAGCTTTCCCGAGTTCCACCGTTTTCGGTTGGTGGATTCGAGTCGAAATGTTTTATTTTTTAACGGGTATATAAGCAGCGTCTTTTTCCGTCGTTAGAACCACCTCGTCAGGGGTGTATTCTTCTTATGGCTGAGGCTTGCTTCGTGGCCTTCACTGAGGAACATTGCGTTTTGTTGGTATCGTACAAAACGAAAGAAGCTAGGAAATCCGTTAACGAACCCATTTTAGAACGCTGTCGGGAGCTGAGCTTGTTGGCTCTCGGTGGGAAAAGAATTAATTACAATCGATGGTAATACGATGGCGAGGCAGTGAGTCCAACGGGGCCATAATTAAATCTCAATTGGGCGGGATCTTTCGGCACTTAAGACACCTGTCGTTAAATGTTTTGGAACTTTTGAGAATTGACTCGAGGGGAAATTAATTTCGAAGGTACCACTTGCAGATCGATGATCGAAGCGTCAATTCCTTACTACTATAACACCTTTTCTGTTGTTCGCTGGAACTAAACTTGAAGTCAATCTGTCCATAGCTAGGTCTGCTGCCTTACTATGTCCATCACTATCGATAAGGTTGGAAGCATGTACACCGCCTTCATAAGTCACTGAACATTTGACCACGTTGGAAAAACGTATCGTGTCTAATGTAACAATAATGTTTGTGAAAAAAAGTATTCGCACACCCTTTAAAACAGCACACTTTTTCAAAAGTGAACCAAATGACTTGAGTTTCTTTGTGTTAACACATCATTTATTACACTAATCCTTCTA